GGTTCAGGCTGTGACGGGTTAGGCAGAGACACTGACTGCAGAAGAGCCACAGTGTAGAAGAACGTTATACAGTGGGGGGCGAGGATAAGCTGGTGGGAAGTGAAGCAGACACAGAAGAGTCAGGTCAGCAAAGGAGAAGCATTAAGCAGATGATATTCAACGCTGCCTGCCCAGAAGAATCATCTGGAGAGAACTTAACAAATACTAGCACCTGTGCTTAAGCCCAGAGGTTCTATTTAACTGGTGTAGAGGGGAACCAGGCATTAGTAGCTTAAAAGTCTCCTCAGGGGGAGGGCCACTGACCTGCAGTGAGGTTCCGCTGTGCTGGGCCGGCTCCTGCTCCACAGGACGGCCCATGCTCCAGCTTCTCCTGGGTTCTTTGGCAGATACTTGTGGATATTTAACCACTTACAGCTCCTGCCTTACTCCTTGCTGACAGACTCCTAATTTTGTATAAGTATTGGAGCAGCAATACAGTCAAGGAAGATGGGCCCAACCCCAGAGGATGAAGCCTAACTGATCCAAGCCAAACAAGGTAACCCCATCCCCATTTTCTCATCTTAGAGATGGTCTATGACCCAGTTCTGACCAATGACATGGGAGGGGGGAACCCTCTGGGAAAGATTTTCCCATTAATAGAGAGAGAAAGAAGCTAGAGAAATGCTCCCTCACCCTTTTCTGCATTTGGAAGTTATGCTTTCTGATGTGATGCCTGGAGCTTCTGGAGCCATCTTGTGACTATGAGGGGAAAACCAAGAGAACTGCAGAGACTCTGACCAGAGCCCTGATGTGACTGCTGCTGAATTAACCACCCAGGAACCACCTACCTCCAGATTTCTTGTTACTTAACTATGTGCTTACTATGTGCAGGCGCCGTTCTAAGCACTTTCCACGTATTACTTAATGGAATCCTTAACAACCCTGAGGGTGGTCCTCTGGATGTGAGAAGGATGAATGCCCCCCCAAGCCCCCCACCCCGCATCAGAACTGGCTCAGTCTCTGCCGGAGCAGCCTTCCCATGCACTACCCACTGTCAATGCATGTCTCTCTGTGAGACAAAGTGACAGAATGTGCATGCTGTTGGGATGTTTAAAAAAATAGCCAAAAGACAGCAAAAGGCCTCAAAGCTAGTAAGTTCTGTATCTACAGCCCAGCTTGCCCTGGCTCCCTTAATAAACCATTGACACTGTGGTCTCTGTTCAGAATGCTCTCAGTTGATGCCTTTCTGGTCACTCCATAAAGCTTGCTTACTGGCTCTCCCCAACCCTTGCCTGTCACCCCCTCACTGGTCTCTCTACTCTTACTCTATTGCTTCCCACTTCCCCTGTTCTCCAACACTCCAACGACTGGATTTGAGAGGAAAAGAAATGGAGCACCCTCCACCCCCCAAAACCAAAACTCTTGAGTGACAGATTTTAAAAATCCGGATATCTAGACAGTGGAGAGTCCTCAAATATTAGCAGTTTCTCTCATCAGCTTCGTTGTATCTCCAAAATGTGCTTTCTTTTCATGCTGTCCTGTCCCCCTATCCAAACATAAGTCTAAGTGGTCCCCAAAGAAAGGGCCCTGACAGCCTCCTTCCATGGCTCTGTCCCAAGGATGACTCAGGGTCTGCACTGAGGAGGTGTACATGCCTTCTAAAGACACACTCAGCAGACACCACACCTTTCTCTCGCCCATCTTCAAAACTCTTCTTCACAAGTTCTGAAGTTGGGCAGCATTGGCTCAGCCCCTTGGTCTGGGCTCAGAGAACACCACAGGTGTTTACACAGTTTACACAGACTTTATTTTTCACCCATTGAGCACAGGAAGGTCTGGGCAGGTGGAGGTGTCACAGTCACCTCCCCTGGTTCACAGACACAGACCATGAGACTTGGTGGGAGGGAGCAGGGTCCTATTCCTACCACAGATTGCTATGGGGTTGTCACAAGGACACATTTGTTCTCGATTCTATTTACACCATGGAGGGTAGAGAGGGTACATTTCTTACACTAAAAATATATACTTTAGAATCTCTAAAACAAAAATATCTCTATCTCTACATGAGACCCACTAGAAAGAAGAACATAGAAAACAAGGGAAATGTACCAGCACCTCAAGTTGTCCCCTTCCGTGGGAAGGTTGCTCTGCTCCCCACCTGACACCATCAGCTTGGGAGGGCAGCCATATCTAACCAATCAGACAGACAGACACAGATAAACAAGAAGGAAGCTCATCATCTTGGAGGAGCGAGTATCGGAGAAAGGAGTGAGGAGGAGGATTTTGGCCTCTTCTGCAAAAGGAGTAATTGCACATTCAGTTTGGTGCTTCTTTTCCAACATTATTGCACGTGTGAAAAACCTGCATGTTGGCGTCAACAGCAAACCCGCTAAGAGAAGCCCGAGCTTTGCTGATTTCTGCTGGGCTCAGAAAAGTGCCGGGGGTGGGTTCTCTCTCTCTCAGGAAACATTAATGCCATCAGCTAGAAGAAAAAGTTCTGTATTCTCCAAAGCTGAAAGTGGGTTAGGTTTAAGAAAAATGCCATTCCTTTTCTTTTCAGAAGGATCAGAAACCATTCCATTCCCTTTGAGCACAGAATCTCCTGAAAGAATTATGCCTATGGATGAATCATTCCACTTGCTGAATTTTCCTATTGAAAAGATTCACGTAACACTCTTTTCCTCTTTTTATGCTTCAAGCATAAAAATTCAAGAGTTGCTTCACACCTCTTTTAATTATGAAAATTAGCCTTCTTTCTGGTAAAGAAATGTTAACTGAGTCAACTGCCCGTTCTCTATAATTAATGTAAGAGACCAAGGGCACCGTGAATCATAAAGAATAGATTTGGTAGAAAAATCACTTCTATTTGGTTTTGGGATGTCTTTTTCTGTTTACGCTGAAATATGGATAAACCTGAGGGCTTGAGAATCCTTAATCCCTCATCCTAAAGAAGGAAAACAACCACGAAGTAAGGAAATAACCATGAGAAGCCCCAGAACTGTCCAACCTTCTTGCCTCTCTAACCACCCCTAACTGGTGGTGGTTTTTAGGACCTCTGACCAAGAACTTCTTCCCTCCGAGGAGGACTTGAAGGACTGAGGAAAAGGCAGAAAGGAGAACAAAGGGTGCTTGAAAAAGCTGAGTCAGTAAAAGGGGGTGGAACTTGGATGATGTCTCATTTGGCAGGAAGGATTTCTACCTACAGGCCCGACAGCTACAATCAAAAGAAAGTCAAGAAGGCTGAGAACATTCAATGCAACGTTGCTTAATGTCCTGCCAGGATGTGGCTTGGAAACCTGAGAAGGCCAAGGAAAATGCAGTAACAAACTGGCAAAGACTGCTTAAAAGTCCTAGGAAGAAATGCTAACTCACTTGCAAAAGAAGAAATTTAGAGAAGCTGATAAAGTAGCAGACAGAACATACTAGATAGTACTTCTGATGCCAGTTAAAAGGAAAGCCAGGGGCCCTGTGGTCAAGTTTCTCTCATGCTTCAGAAAAACTTGGGAGATGCAGAACATTGGACACTGAAATCAGCAGAGAAAATGCAGGGAGAATTACTGACTCCTCTATTAAGGAAGAAGTCGGGAGCCTTGAGTAGGTAGAAAACAAAGTAGAACTGGGAATTGCCTTTTTTGGACAACCAGAAACCACAGATTTCCAGAACCAGAGACCTCTTAAAGGTCATGGTTGTCATAGCCTGAGTTGTCAACCAAGCCTGGGACATAGCATATACCAGACTTTTATCAAACATTTATGACTAATTTAAAAGCCAGTCACATCTCAGACAAAGAGAAATAGCAACTATTCACACCGTCTTTCGGAAATACATGGTTCCCTACCCCTCTACCCTAAAGGCAAAGTTATATGAATAAGGAGATGGAGATAGGAGCTGTATGTGCTCAAGACCAGATCTCCTGATAACCCCATCATCAGAAATCTGAAATCATATATAGCCACAAAGAGCTAGCCTGCATTTGATGCAACCAAATATATTTGGTAATTTCACAGCATATTTCTGCTGGTCTTCCCTTTCTCTCTAGGCCAACCCTTTCCTGAAAGTCATGGGCTAGGAAGTAACCCACCCACTGAGCAACAGCAGTTCTTCTCCTTAGAACCAAGATTCTATTCACCATCACTTTCTTAAACCTCTGGCCTCCCTCCCTACCTACCTCTACACTACCAGCCTGTCAGGGCATTGGCCTGCCAACACTCAAACTATTCCTGAAATCTCCCCTTGTCATGAAAGAGATGGACTGCTTCTCCGGCCCAAGCAAACCTGGGCACAGAAATTACCTACTGGCCTTTCTTTCCACCCCTAAATCAGTTTCTCCTTAATGTTGAGCTTAAATACCTTTTTATATAGATTAATCTGCCTATATTTGTCCTCAAGCTATTCCATCAGAGAAGTTGGAGAGGGGGAACCCCTAGAAGGGATACGGCCATATTTTTCTAATATCCCCTTGTGCACGCGGTGCACAAGGCTGCTTATTAGCAGCAATGAAATCTTACGGTTATACTCTCATTTGTTGATAAACACACATGCATATGCACACACACACATACACAAACACTGCTGCTGCTTCACCTCCCCTCCCAGTTTCTTATCCCAAACGCTGCCCAGCTTGACTCTGCCATCATGGTCACAGCCACAGATCCGAGCAAGAAAGCAGCCAGCACTGGGGTTGAGTGTTTGGTGAGACTTGGGAAGGAGGAGAGAGTAAGAGTAGGGAATGGTTGCCATCACTGAGATGTAGCAGAAATGAGGCTGGCTATTGTTTGAGAAAAATCTAATGGCCTAAAAGCCTTGGCACAAGGTAGCTGACATTCCTAAGGTGCAGTAACCGAGGAGGGTCTGGCTCAGGAAAGTGCATGCGTGGTCCTGTAACTGCACTGCACGGAGTCAACCAAGACAGGTTCCCTCTCTCCAGAAGCCCAGCATACACAAGGCATCACAAGACATCAGCATATTAGGAGAGAGATTTTTCTGAGTGGCTCTTTCATCTAGTTTTGTTGCATGAAGGACTCACTCTGTTACATTCCTTCCAGCCACGCTGAGGCTAGGGAAACAGGTGAAGCAGTCCCCAACTTCCCTCTACAGAGGTGGCAGGAAAAGATGGGAGGGGCAAGATGGAGGAAGAAAGTGGGGGGATGTTCTCACGGAAGAAAGATGAAAAAAGAGGCAAGTTCAAGGAAGCAGCCAGAGAGAGACAGGGAAAGTCAGCAAGAAAGCTTTCTCTTTGACAAAGCTGCCTTTTAATTTTTCTGAATTAGGTAGGTAAATGGGTACAATTATTACATTTATCCTAAAGTGATAAACTGTGAAGCTTTGGCTCACAAAGATTTTAATGCCCGTATACTTCAAAAACACATTCCTGTTCCTGTCTGCACCATAGGAAAGGAAGCTGAGGCTGTCCCTAAAACAGCCTTGTGAGTAGAAATCAGACAAACCAGGAAAAATATCCACAATTCAAAGGGATATCATTTTAATATTTGAAAGCAGCATGACGTTCAGCCAGTAGGCATGGGTAAGGCCATACCTACTGCTTGTTTATAGCAGGCATCCGTTCTGAGTGGTTGGTCTCCGTCCTGTACCAGTTGTTAAATATTTTGAAAATCATCTGCGTATGAAAATAATTATGGCTCTAAGAGATAGGGAAATATGAAAGAAATGCAGGATTCCTTCAACATCAAAGATCTTTAGAGTAAGACTAGAATACACTAATATATTTTAAGAGTCTAAGGAATGCAAAATTCAATCAAGTGATATAGCCAACTCTTCATCTATGAAAGGAAAGCACACTGGGGGAATGTCCCACTGTACAAAGATTTTCCAGGATGGAAAACTGATATGATCGTATTCCCTGGGTACCAACATACTTGTTAGTCACATTCTGTGCACAAAGGAAGGGAAAGTCTATACACACTGGAGCCCAAATTCTTGATATTATTGCAACAGAGAAGAGAAGAGAATAACCATAAATTAGTTTTAAACTAAATACCAAAATTAATGTCACCACTTACAGTTCATTTCCCAGTGTGGCTTTTTACATCTGAGTGGCAGAACATGTATCAACCAAAAGAAATCTATGATGATGAAGAAACCGCATGGCTGAAGGTGGTTTTGGTCCATTGATGGTTCGCTACTAAGGCAGCTAAGGAGACATTACGTAAGCACTTGGATCTCTCCAGGAATGGAATCAGAATGTGTCCTCAAGAGACAGCAGCAAGACACGAATGTTTCCACAACAGGGCAATAAAAACACCTTAAATCCCTTTCTACTCACAAACAACTCTTATCAAACCTTTCTCGGAGATCTAGAAATCAGACACTATGACAAATCTTCAGGCGAGGAAGTCCTTCCTGGTGTCTAAACTATTTCCTTCTGTGGCAATTTCAGCTCATTCTCTTACTCTGTCCTCAATGAAACCAAGAGAGGCTGCTCATCCTCACTTATCGTAACTGATTTCCCTCGAGCTGCTTCCTGTTGAAGCTAAACAACTCCAGCGTCCCTCTTGGCCCTTTCACTATCCAAGGTTCTCACGGAGTTATGCAGCCTGCTGCTAGGAAGCAATGAAGATGCACCCGGGCCAGAGGTATCTTCTGGCTTGGTGGTGGGCACTGCCAACGCCCAGGTCGCTGAGCAAACCCTCCTGACAGCCTCTGGGTCTGACCAGCATCCCCCAGAGTAGGCAATCAAACAAGGCCCAGGGCTGCCTAGCAGCCTGCAGATACTATGGGACTGGAGAGCCTTCCCTTTTCTCTCTGCTCTCCTCCTACTCCCCTACTCCATCCCTTAGGAAGAGGGACCTCTTTGAAGGAATCCTCAGTGGCAGAATGGATCCATATGGCTCGGCAGGCCAGCAGAGAGGTTCAGAGAAAATGTCTGGAAAGTGGGAAGCTGGGTATTCAATGGTGGCAGTTCTGAGGAGAAACAGAAGAAAGACAAGTACCAACAGGAGCTGGTCTTCTGCTGCCACGTTCACATCTGGTGACTGGCTGCTGGTAAGGGGGTAGCTGGATGTCCTCCAGTGCACACCACGAATAACTCAATGCTTCGGCATGGCGTTGACATGACCAAGGACAGGGCCAGACTTGGTCTTGCTTCTTCTCTGAGAGATTCACCATCTTCTCTGTGACCAGAACTCCCCTGAGGCACCTCGTGGCCCAAATCTTGCATCCCAGCAAAGACTTTTAGTTGAAGAGACTGAATAAAAGTGTTACAATTAGACAAAAAGGGAACACATGATTCATTCCTGCTTTTAACACAATACTTTGAAGATGTCACCACAATTTGGATCTGGCTATATTTTAAGTTCATTTACAAGTAGACTAGTTCTCAACTAAAAATAACCATATGCGTTATACATTTCGACAGCTGCCTGGATTTTCCTCTGAAGGAAACAAGATTCTATATTTCACTCACATTCAGCACAGATTTATTTTAACCCATTCGATGAAGGAATAACCTACCACCACCACCCACTGGCGGCTGTGACTTTTCAAAGCACTTCAGGTTCTCCTCAGAGCAGACTTACGAGTGGGGCAGTTGGTTACTAGTGTCCCTGTTTTACTGCTGAGACCACTGAGTGCCAGAAACAGTTGTCTGCCAGGTTATGATTGGAATTAACAGCTAGACCAGGTCTCCTAATTCCTAGCCTCCTGCTTTTTTTTTTTTTAACTAGAAAAGTTGCCCTTAATAAGACCTAAGATTTTGCCTTCAGTTATCTTACTACTTAAATGGTGTTTGGACTAAATTGTTCACATAATTTGGGTGCACAGGCTACCTCAATGCAGGCAAAAATGCCTCAAATCCTTCCATTTTCTTCACTAACATGATTAAAATAGATCTATGCTAATGGCAAATGATATTCAGAATTTAGTTTCCAAGATAAGAAAACAATGACAATTTCATATTTCAAATATTGGCAATAATTCTCATTATGGAACAAGTTAAATAGGTTAAAGTCTGTATCAATACTATCAATGCTATCTGAATATTTGAGCAATTTTCCAGTCTGTGTGGCTGCAGTAACCAGAGAGATGGTCTATAGATTTTGAAATGGGAACTAGAAAGAGGATTAGGGAACTAAACAGATAAAGCAAATTTACATCTCAAAATAATTCCATCCTGACTTTGGACCTGTGTAAATGGGCAGCTCAAAACAGCATATCTGTTCAAATAGTTAGAAAACATTTTTGCTTTTCTTAGGCTTATAGCTATTCTCATGGGGTTAGGAGCAGGCCTGGAAGTGATATTTATCAGACAAATTCAGTTTTACAACTAAAATATATTTTACTTTAAACATGATTGCTATTTTTAAAAGCCAGAAATAAATAAAAATCAGCAAGTAATAGTTCTCTTTACCTCTTTTCCTTTGTGTTTCCAGAATTCATACTGAGAGCTTTCCAGACCGTGGTTTTAGGCATTTCATCAGATATATTAATCTCAGAGGGGTCACATCTGAAATCAGTGCTTGGGACAGTAAATGTCAGACATACAAATAAAATACGTATCTCAGGCTGTGATGCCCACCACCCCACCAGAAGGGAACACTAACAGCTCGCAGAAGTGCTGGGAGCCAGATGGTCAGAACGTAGAGAGGCAAGCGGCCCGTGAGGTGGCATTGAGGGCCGGGCTGGTGTGCCAGGTGGCGGCAGCCCTGTCCCACGATTCTGCCCTTCGAAGGGCCCCCTAGGGTACTGACGATAGCGCTAGGACGCCAACGGTGGTAGATCAGGAGCTACCACTTACTGAGCGCTCGCTGTGTGCCGGGCACGGCGCTGAGTACTCTTCATTCATTTTCTCATTTACGTGGCCAAATGATTTCCATTTGTAGTTTACAAAGGATTTCTACCATATATCACCTCATCTATCAGAGCATCAGAGATCATGAACACCCTCATCTGAAGATGTAGAAACCAAAGCTCCTAGGGCTAAGTGACTGTCCAAGTCAAACATCAGTAAGTGCAGAATCAGGACCTTGAATCCAGTCCTTGGTCTCCTGGAACCTGAGTACTCTGAGGTTTCCTACAAGCCAGACTGTCTCCTTTTAAAAGGCCAAGAGAGGAGGCAGCATCCCAATAGAGAAGGAGCGTTGCTCCTACTTTGCTGCCAGAGAATTCAAAGCTGATGGCTGCTTCCCTAACAACTTGTAGAAAGTTTATTAAGGTCCAAAGATTCCATTTCTTTGGGGTCAGTTAAAAAAAAAAAAAAAGTCAGACTCATAGTAACAGAGAGTAGAATGGTGATTAATAGAGGCTGCAGGGAGGTGGAAAAGGAAGATATTGATCCAAGGGTACAATCTTTCAGTTATAAGATGAATAAATTCTGAAGACCTTTGTACGGCATGGTGACCATAGTTAATAATAATGTATTGTATACTTGAAATTTGCTAAAAAAGTTGATCTCAAGTGTTCTTGCCACAAAAAAAAAGAACGGTAACTGTAGGAGGTGATGGATATGTTATTAGTTTGATTGTATTAATCATTTCACAACATATACAGATATCAAAACACCACATTATAAACCTTAAATATATACTATTTTTATTTGTCTAATATAAAGAAATAAAAAATTTAAAAAAGGACTTTCCTCCTTTTCCCCTCACTATAAACCACAATCCTCTCAATGTTCAGCAATAAATTTTCCAGGATCTAGATGACCCAGATCCCCTCTCTCTTCCTTTTCTGTCCCCTCTCAACCTCTGAGCCTCTTTCAGCTTGTGTGTACCTCTTCCACATGGAAACAAAATGCTAGGAACGAAACCACATATGGACCAATTTAGCTTCCTACGACTTGTGGTGACCAATAGCTTTGATAGAGAAAGGGGCTAAAAATCTCCGGCAGACGTAAGGACTTTGGGGGATCCCAGTTCGGTTCCCCCTTGTGTCCTAGGACTGTAGATGCCATGAGCCAAGCTGGAATGGGCTGTCTCTGCTCATCCCCAAAGGCTTGCCCAGCCTGGGAATCTCAGGCCAACCAGGCTGAGAACTCTCTGGAAGCAAAGACCATATCCTGTTCTTCTTTGGAAGGTAGCAGAGAAAGGCAGAAGGAGCACTGGTTTGAGGAATACAAAGACTAAGGTTTGAGTCTTAAACTTTCTACTTAGCAGCATTACGATCTTGGGCAAATTACCTAAACCCCTCTAAGCCTCAGTTTCCTCACTGTACAAATGTGGATAATGAGACTTATCTCAGAGAGTTGTTGTAAAGACAAATGAGAGCACACAGTAAACCTTCTAGCACATGGAGAAGGCGCTCAGTACATGCGTTCCTCACCTCTGTTCTCCTCGTGATTCCTCCCCTGGTACAGTGCCTGACATGCGGCAGGTACTCAGTAAACCATGAAAGGAAAGGTGTTTTCACGAGTTGGAACTAGGAGACTGAATGTTAGCCCATTGAACCACAGCTGCATTTGTGACACCACCCCACACAAAGCCAGACTGTTTACAGAATAACCAAAATAGTCGACTCCTTGGTGTTTGGGGAGTTTTACCTGAAACTGTTGTTCTTTCCAGGACTACTTAGTAACTTCCTGCTCTCTAAGGGGAACTTGTCTCCCCCGATTTCTAACATTTTCTCGGCCTCCTGGAAGAAAAGGAGGCATTATTATATCTTGAACCAAGTAAAACCATGAGTCTACACCAGCCCATTTTTCTGTCACCACAATTTATACCTTATTTTCTCTCACATTTATTATAAAAGAGTATAATTATATTCTTTCATATATGTGACTCGTCACAAAAAGAGAGACAACCAGATATTTGTAGCTATGGAATAGTATGAAAAGAAAAAAAAAAAGAGCTGAATCTGAGCGAGCCTTTAGATGGAACTACCAATTTGCTGGAAATATCGGGGACAGAAGAACACGTTAAATGACACCAAGGGACACATTTAGTAAAATCTAAACTACAAAAAATCCTATAGGTCAAAGATCTAGTTTTTTAAACAAAAAGAAAAAAAAATGATAGCAGGGGAACCCCTAAAGAGATTTAAGCAACATATCAACCAATTGCAATATATGGACCTTATTTGGATCCTGATTCAAACAAACAGATGGTTAAAAATAACAATAAGACATTTGGGGAAATACGAATTCTGACTATTCTTTCTACTTTTGTATATGTTTGAAATGTTCCATAATAAAGTGTTTTCTTTAAAAAAATCCCATTAATTTAAAGGAAATAATTACAGAGAAATAAATATATACAAAGATGTTTAAAGTAGTATAATTAATAATAAAACCTAAAACAACTATAAATTTTAACAAAGGAAGAATGTTTAAATTAATTATGAGATAATACTATAAAATATTATATAGCCATTAAAACAATAAAGACGATTATTTACTACATAGACATAGAAAAATGAAACTGTTATGAAATCAAGTGAAGGGGAAAAATCAGAATATATATATATATAGAAAACATAGATAAATATATACACATACAAATATACAATTATAAGATATATGAAAACTATGTTAAGGATTTAAAAAGAACATAAAGAAATGAAGAAAAATGTTGGATGTTGATGTGAAATTGTGGGGTGAAGTCTTCATTTTTTTCTTTCCTTTCATTTAGTTTTTAAAGTAATTCTATAACGTAAAACATGTATTAACAAATGCATGTTTACTTCAGAAAGTTTGGAAAATAAGGAGTATGTTTACCAGCCATCTCGAACTTAACATCCAAAAGAGATCCCTTGATTTTCCTCCTAGACCTGCTGTTCCTAGGTCTTCCCCATCTTAATAAAAAGCACAACCAACCATTCAGCCAATTGTTCACTCCAAAAATCTAAGAGTCATCCTTGATTCCTCTCTTTCATCCATGCTCACTGTGCATTAGCAAACCCCATCAGCTCTATCTTCAGAATAAGTCCCCAGTCCAGCCTCTTTTACCACCTCTCCCTCAGCCTAAGCCACCACAACCTCTTGCCCAAGTCATTGCCACAGACTTCTCACTAGTCTCCTGGCTACCTCTCTCCCTTCCAGCCTCACTGGCTTTCTTGGTGTTTCTTTGACATTGATCTTGGCAATGATTCTGTGGACATGACACCAAAAGCAAAAATAAACAAGTGGGACTATATCAAACTAAAAAGCTTCTGCACAGCAAAAGAAAGAATCAACAGAACGAAAAGGTAACCTCTGGAATGGGAGAAAATATTTGCAAAGCACATACCTGACCAGGAGTTAATAATATCCAAAATATACAAGGAACACGTATAACTCAATAGCAACCCCCCCACAAAAAAATCCAATTAAAAAATAGGCAAAGGACCTGAATAGACATTTTCCCAAAGAAGACACACAGATTGCCAACAGGAACATAAAAAGGTGCTCAACATCACTAATCATCAGGGAAATGCAAATCAAAACCACAACGAGCTATCACCTCACACCTGTCAGAATGGCTATTATCAAAAAGACAAGAGATAACAAGTGCTGGGGGGAGGACATGGAGAAAAGGGAATCTTTGTGCACTGTTGGGAATGTAAAATGGTACAGCCACTGTGGAAACCAATATGGAGGTTCCTCAAAAAATTAAAAATATAACTACCATACGATCCAGCAATTCCACTTCTGGGTATATATCTGAAGGAAATGAAACCACTGTCTCAAAGAGATATCTGCACTCCCATGTTCATTGCAGCATTATTCACAATAGCCAAGACATGGAAACAACCTAGGTGGCCATCAATAGATGAATAGATAAAGAAAAGGTAAAATATGTATACAGTGAAATATTATTTAGCCATAAAAAAGAAGGAAATCCTGCCATTTGCAACAATTTAAATGAACCTTCAAGGCATTATGCTAAATGAAATAAGTCAGAAAGAGAAAGACAAATACTGTATGATCTCACTTACATGTGGAATCTAAAAAATCTGCAGTCATAGAAACAGAGAACCGATTGGTGGCTGCCAGGGGTAGGGAGTAGGGGAAATGGGAGAAGGTGGTCAAAGAGTACAAACTTTCAGTTATAAGATGAATAAGTTCTGAGGATGTCATGTACAACATGGTGACTATAGTTAACAATACTCTATTGCATATTTGAAAGTTGCTAGGAGAGTAGATTTTAAAAGTTATCACCACACACACAAACGAACTGTGACTATGTGAGGTGATGGATGTGTTAACTAAGCCTATTGTGGTAATCATTTCACAATATATACATATATCAAATCATTACACTGTACACCTTAAACTTACACAATGTTATATGTCAATTATATCTCAATAAGGCTAGAAAAAATAATACAAGATTTTTAAAATTTAAGATATTAGAAAAAAAGTCCTTCAAAATACATTTCAAAGGACACTATTTCAGGCACTAACTGTATTTGGAAACACTTTCTGGCTCATTCATTTCTTGGTGGGGTATTTTCATTTTGCTACACATACATTCTTTGCACATACAGGCCATTGATTAAGGGTCCATTGTGTGGCCTGCAGATGCCAAGTGCTGAGGGAAACGAGGAAGGACAGAAAGTCCCATGCAAGTTATCTTTGCATGGTGCCAACCACAGCACCATCTGCAATTAGGTACACAACAAATACTCTCAGAAAATAATAGGTTTTGTATACTTGTCGAATTAGACCTTTTGGGAGAACATGAACCATTAGATCTGATAATAAGAACAGATTCTAGGTTCATCTTCTAAGTGTGAACCTGGTGACTAGACTGCAGACAAAGGAGAAAACTGGTTATCAAATCCGAAAATGAAGGACAGACAGGGACAAGAATCCTTAATCTACTCTGGGCTCAGAACATCTTTGGAGTAGTCTTCCTGGCTCCTAAATATAACCCTTGGGATTCCAGACATGCTGACGTTTCATGTGGCCCTCCCTAAGTCCTGTAATTCGAGGCTGCCCCAAAGTGTACAGTTGGTGCAAGAACTATGACCTCTTCCTCCTTGGCCTTCTTTTTGGCATCGTCCAACTTCTTCTTTTTGCTTTCAGGCATGAGGTCATCTAACCAGCTCAGCTCTCGCTTAGAGAAACAGAGATCCATGACTTTCCTGACAAAGACCAAGGCCAAAACCTGAAGAAAAATAAAGAAAGTGAATTAAAGGGGCTTGTTTCCTTCCTGGAGTTAAAAGCGAAGTCTTTTTTTTTTTTTTCTCCCCAAAGCCCTAATAGATAGTTGTACATCATAGCTGCACATCCTTCTAGTTGCTGTATGTGGGACGTGGCCTCAGCATGGCCGGAGAAGCAGTGCGTCGGTGCACGCCCGGGATCCAAACCCGGGCCGCCAGTAGCGGAGTGTGCACACTTAACTGCTAAGCCATGGGGCCGGCCCCGCGAAGTCTTATTTTCATAGCACACTAGGACATTTCAAGCAAAATCAAACTCATAATAATCATAATAGTTGCCTTTTATTGAGTGATCTCTTCGTACCAGATACTAAGGTAAGTGTTTTATATACAATATTTTATTTAACTATCATCATAACAACCCTGCAACTTAGAGAGCACCTAATCTAATTCCCTCATTGAAAAGAGAAACCCTTCATCTGCAGATGGCCCTAAGAGCTGCTCCCCTGGCTTGGGGCCAGCAGCAACGGCTATGGGCAGCATGGGGGTGGAGAGCCTCTGCAAGAGCACGGCTGTGTGTGTGTGTCGGGGCAGGGGGCGAGGGTGCAGCCACACCCAGCCCAAGCAGGCCTCACCCTGGGGTGAGGGGACCTGGAAAGACCATCTGGATTCCCTCTGATCCTTTGTCTATACATTTCCCTGCAAAATTCTTGCTTTATGCCTGCATCATGGATCTCTAGGTGTTTTCGTCTCTGCCCTCTGGCCTGGACGGATGCTCATTTTATAATCGAGGAAACTGAGGCCAAGGGAGAGAAAGTGACTTGCCTAAAATTTGACAGCTAATTTCCTCAATAGGAACAGGTAAGGGTGTCTCAACTGCTGCTCCATGTTTTTCCCATAAGGGCCATTTTAGCCAAAGGGAAACCAATAATAACCCAGAAGGACCTGCCTAGATTGACTGGTGTTCACCAGCTACCTCTGGTGGCTGGACAAGGAATGAGGCAAATCAGGGTTACTAAATTTAACCACATTTCTCTCTAATTTCAATGACTACTGTCCCAATAAATCCAAAATTGATAGTACCCCTTCTAGGAATTGTCAGGAATTTGCTATTTCTTTTACCAAACACTCAACTCCTGAACCTAACACCCAAATGCAGAACTCTATATGTAGTCTGAAAAAATTAAGAAATGCATCACAAGGGTATATATCTTGGTGATTAGGGAAAAAGACCCCTGACTGCCAGTTTCCTCCCCCTTGAATAATCTCCCAGTAAGTCAGAGTTCAACAGCACCTAAACGGTGCTCGTGGCCTCTTCTCTGGAGGCCCACCCTTTGGGTAACCTTCAAACAGCCCACTGGATTCTCAGCATCCTCATGACACAGACTGAGCCAGAGAGAAGGCATCAAGAGGAGAAGATGAAACAGTGAGGCGGTCAGGTGGCAAGAATTCATCATCACCCTAGTTTTAGGAAACAGCTTGTCACCTGTTGTACCATACACAGTTCAGCTTCCCTACTCTCCTTTTCAAAGCCCTTGCTGCAGTTAGAAAGGAGGTAAGGATATCCAGTCACTTCTCAGTGCTAGACCACCCTCATCCTCTGTCCCAGTGGCTTCAAACAGTGCATTTCCACCATTTTAGACACCTCTGATTGCAATAAATTCTAAATTAGGAACTATTTTGCTTTCAAGTTAACATGCAGATTATTGCAAACATGAAGAATCCTCTCCACATCAGATTCATGAAAGACAGACAGACAGACAGGCAGGCAGGCAGACTTATAGCCTTAAAAATAAACATGGCAAACTGCTACACACATGCATTCACACCTCAAGGTCCCCAAAATAATGCTGCTCCTACAAAGACCAACCAAAAAACAAAAACTTGCCATCCATTAGGATTAATATCCAGAATATATAAAGAACTTCTAAAACTCAACAACAAAAAAACAAGAAACCCGATTAAAGAATGGGCAAAGGACTTGAAGAGATATTTCTCCAAAGACAATATACAAATAGCCAATAAGCACATGAAAAGATGCTCAACATCACTAGTCATTAGGGAAATGCAAATCAAAAACACAATGAGATACCACTTCATGCCCATTAGGATGGCTGTATTCCCAAAAAACCCAAAAAACAAAGAACAGAAAATAAGTGTTGGCAAAGATGTGGAGAAATTGGAACCCGATGCACTGCTGTAGAAATGTAAAATGGTACAGCCGCTATGAAAAACAGTACGGTGGTTCCTCAAAAAATTAAAAATGGATATACCACATGATCCAGCAATCCTACTTCTGGGTATATACACAAAAGAATTGAAAGCAGGGACACAAACAGATATTTGTATGATTCATGTTTATAGCAGCATTATTTACAAAATTGCCAAAAGGTGGAAGCAATCCAAGTGTCTATCGACAAATGAATAGGATAAACAAAATGTGATATGTATATATATGCATATATATATAATGGAAATTATGCAGTCTTTAAAAAGGAAGGAAATTCTGACACATTATGCTAAGTGAAATTAAGCCAGTCACAAAAAGACAAACACTGTATGATCCCACACATATGAGGTACCTCGAGTAGTCAAATTCATAGAGACAAAAAGTAGGATGGTGGTTGCCAGGGGCTGGGGGAAGAGGGAATGGGGAGTTAGTGTTTACTGGGTGCAGAGTTTCAATTTTGCAAGATGAAAAAAGATGGATGGTGGCAACAGTTGCACAACAATGTGAATGTACTTAATGCCAATGATCTATACACTTAAAAATAAAGATGGCAGGGCCGGCCTCGTGGCTTAGCGATTAAGTGCGCGTGCTCCGCTGTTGGCGGCCTGGGTTCGGATCCCGGGTGCGCACTGACGCCCCGCTTCTCTGGCCATGCTGAGGCCGCGTCCCACATACAGCAACTAGAAGGATGTGCAACTATGACATACAACTATCTACTGGGGTTGTGGGGGAAAAAAAATAAATAAATAAAATTATAAAAAAAAAAAAGATGGCAAATTTTATGTTACCCATATTTTATCACTATTTTTAAAAACAAATAATACTTTTTAAAAACTCACCATCATTGGAAAGACAATGGCAGCTGGAGATGCCTTGATGACCCAGAGCAGGACAAGGCAGGTCAGCTGGATTAGGGTGAAGAGGTGCACTTTGCGCAAGGGCACATGCCGAAGGTAGATAAAGTCTGGCTGGTGCTTTGCGGGCATCCCAAAGAGCTTCAGGCGATCAAAGAACTGAAAGCAGGGAACTGGCATTTATTTTCAGGAAGTTTCTCTGGGTCAGAAACCTTATTAGGCCCATTCATGTCTCTTACATCACCTGCTCTGAAAGGTAGGTAATACCATTTCCACTGGACACAAGTGGAAACTGAGTCTGAGAGACCAAGTAATTTGGCCAAGGGGTAAGTGATAGAGTCAAAATTTGAATCCATCTTTTCTAATTCAAGGTTCAAATTTCTTTCTCCTATCCCACACTGTGGCTCCTCAGATCTTTCTCGGGAGCGTTGAAAACAATATAAATCATTTGCATCTTTCTGCTTATTATCAAAACCAAAGCTCTTACCTGTTCTTTGAGGAGCTTGGAGCTTTTCATTGATTATTTACAGTAAAAAGATAAAATGAAAGCTCATAACATTCTGGATATAAAAAACACGACCATTCTTATATTATAAAAAGGAAAATAGAGACCCAGAGAGGTTAAATAACCTGCCCAAGGTCACATGAGAATCAGCGTATAAGAATGATGATTGGACATTCCGTAAAAACAAAGAGGAACAAGCCACCAATAGAAGAAGCAGCTAAGTTATCGCATCTCTGGATACCCAGGTTATTATTAACACGCTCCTGATTTTTCTCTGTTCAAAGGACCGAGGAATGGGTTGATAGATGGGAGAAGGCAGAGCATGACAGGGAGTAATGCCTGCTTATCTGGAGCAGCTCCCACTACTCCCAATCTCTTCATCAGTGTACCCCCAGTTAGCCCCCCCACCTCACACTCTAGCCTGGCACTGAACCTAGCCTAGTACTGTCCATGGGTGGAAACCAGTTTGGTTCTTGACCAACCTCTCGGATCTAAGTTTACCAACATCTGGCAAAGCACCTAGTATTTAATACGTGCATAATAATTATTTGTTGAATAATTAACAGATGACTAGAACCATGACATCAAGCCAGGCCACCCCGTTAAGTCTCTCCGCCCTCATGTCAACATAACTGTATTTTGCCCAATGTCCCAAGAAATGTCTAAAATAGCTTAACCAGCAAGACTAGGAGATGGTTTCTCAAGACCTGGTCTGTGCTTCCCTTGGGGAGCTGTCCCTCCCTGGTCAGGACAGGTGGGCTCACAGTGGGAAGACACTGCCCTGGGTGAACCGCGCAATACCTGAATTCCCTGCAGTGAGGATACTCCCATGTAGAGGAAGACTCCATACAATACTGGCATGGGGATAAACTGAGGATAAAAGCGCAGAAAGACCAGAAATTAAATTTGGTATCGTAGCACATTCAAGACTATACAAACTTTTAAATCTCCAAGAAGGAAGCAAAGTCACAAAATCACTGCATAAACATTGCATTAGTTTCTGCTGTCTTTACATGATTTAGAAGTAGAAGCAAAAACAGAAGCTAGCAATGATAACAATCATTTTGTCCTGAAATGAAATGATTACACGTAAGTGTAATCTGGACCTGGTTACCCCTGTCTGGCTCTTCCTCCTCCGTGGGGATGGGCGTGCACACACACACACACACACACACACACGTCCCTCTTTTACAGAATTGATAACTTTCCATTCTTTTGTAATCACATAATCATCTCCTCAGGGATTTGGTATATTTTAACACGGACTAAAAAAGTTTCCTTTTTTACTAACCAGAGACTTGAGGGCAGGAGTGGAGAGGTATCTTATCAGAGAGGGAATGATTTGGGGAGAAATATCAACATTCTTCTATTTCACTTGAATATACATACACACCTACCACATCGCATCTATCACCCTAGGTCATCCTGAGAGCGACTCTATGAAGTAGGGAAAGGAGGCCCAGCGAGTCAAGGCAGGAAAGTCGCACAGCTGAAGACTAACTTTAACTTGCTTTTATTGTGGGAATAAAGAAGCTTCCCAAACAGAATCCTCTCAGAACTAGAAAAATCCCTATTGGATTTTATGTTTTTCCAGCTCTAGAGTGAGTAGACACTTCAATTTGGTGCTAACTTTGTTTGTATAACTATTGAATGGTTTCCTAAAATAATCCCCCTGAGACAGTTATAGGGCGGCCAGGCGATGCCCACCACCATGCCTTTGTGGTTACATTTCTGGAGGAGCAGCAACCTCTGGGCTCCTCCAGATGGCACCTAACCAGGGGTGGAAATGCGGGTACAGTAGAAGTAGAAGTAGAAGGGGGTACGGGGCATGAAGAGAGGCGGCAAGATTGAGTGGAAAGTAAGGGGATGGGAAGATGGTTCAGAATCCTTTCCCATCCCTCTCGATTCTCACCCTTAAATAGCATCTGCAGTGCAGGCTGGGGTGGTTGAAGATTCACCAAAAAGAGCGGGAAAGGAGGCAATGGAGATATGTAAGTACTCCAGAATGGTTGGGGCTTGGTGATATGGCCATAGAACTTTCATCCCATTTTTCCCAGATGCAGGCCTTACACCCACAAAAAAATTTTTTTTTCTCATGTTCAAAGTATCTTCCACCTTTCCAAAAATCCTCTTTCAACCCCGCATCTCACACCAGCCACGACCCATTTTTCTGTTCTACTTCACAGAAAAACTTCTTGAAAGAGTGGTCTGCCCACACTCTTACTTCCTCACCTCCTATTTACTCTTCAGTCTCCTGTAACTCTGCTGCTGCCTCTTGTTCCACTGAATCTGCTCATGTCAACTCATGTTAGGCCTCCATGTTGCCAAATCCAATGGCAGTGGTTTAGTCTTCACCTTTCTAGACAGTTTCTAACCAACCTTTCCTTCTTGAAACACTCCCCTTGCTTGGCTTCCCTGACACCCCACCCTCCTGGTTTCCCTTCTACTGCTCTGGCAGCTCCTTCTGAGTCTCTGTTGCTATCTCCTCCTCTACCCACCTTGAGAGGAGCTCCTTAGACTCTTCTCTTCCCTCTAGTCCTACCTCTCTTTTATCTCTACCCTTCTCCCTGAGTGATCTCTTCTACTCCTGTGCTTTCAATACCACCCATGTGGTGTTGATTCCCACATTTTATTTTTAGTCCAGAACCCTCCTCTAGCCTTGTCACTCAGATGCCTCCCAGATATCTCACCCAAAATCTGACCACCCCGCCCACCCCTCACAAAATCACTTCCTCCTTCATGCAGTCTTCTCCATCTTAAATGCCATCACTCTCCACTGTGATGGTCAAATCAGAACCTAACAGGCATTTTGATTTTTCCATTTTCCTCATCCCATTCCACATCCAGTCAACCAGCAGACCTTTGGATATTTGGATTCAAGTTATAGAGAAGCCGTGCCTTTTATCCATCCCTACTACCAACTTCCTTATCCAAGCCACCGTCATCTCTTACCTGTAATAGCCTCACTGGTTTCTCTGTTTCTGTTTTCCCCAAACCCTAGAAACTTATTCTCTAGACATCAGCCAGAGTGATCTTTTCAAAATATGAAATGGATCACGTCCCTCTCCTGTGAAAACCTTTCAAAGGCTACCTTTACTAGTGTCAACAAGGCCCTGCGTGACCTGCCCCTGCTCACTCTTCAATCTCATCTCTCTGTGCTCTTGCCTTGACTCAACACCCTTGAGCCACATGGCCCTGATATTTCCTAGAACACATACCACTCTTTCCCACCTGAGGGCCTGACTAGACTACTTTTCTCCCTTCCCCTGATGCCATCTCCCACCATCCATGGCACGGCTGGCTCCATCTCATCTTAAATACTATCTCCTTAGACAGGCCTTCTCTGACCACACTAACTAAAGACAGCACCCCCTTAATTCTCTATAGCTCCATAGAGCACTATGTATTTCCTTTTAACACTTATCATATTCTGTAATTATCATGTTTGTTTTCTTAACTACATCTTATCTATCTTACCCTGCTAAAATAAGCTCTTTTAGGGCAGGTATCTGGAGGTGTATGTGTTCAGCATACCACTGTATTCTCAGCACCTAACAGGATTCCTGGCACAAATCAGGCACTCAATATTCAATATTTACCCAATGAGTAAATGAATGATTACCTTTAATATAGCTGTCATGAAGACTGAGCAGCCCATCAGCACAAAGATCATAAGGCCTGTCACTCTTTGCTCTCGGATGCCCAAGAACTTGGGCTGTTCTCCAGGAGCAGAGCACTCAGATTCCAGTTTGAGGCTGTTCACATGGGTGATGGACAAAACAGTTGCAGCCACAAACCAGGGCAGGCCCATGATGGAGCAGACACCCAGCATGATGGCCACCATCAGCAGGTCCAGGTGGTAGCCACAGCCTTTCTGTGGGGAAACAGAGTCTCCATCACCATCAGTGGGCTGGCTGTAGTGGGGCACAGAACAGTGAGCTAAGAGTTTCAGGCTCAAAGCATGAAGGGATGTAAGGGTAAGGAAGAAGGGGTCCAATGATCCCAGATAAGTCTTCCAGCACCTCCTGGTTTGGAGGGAACAGAGAAGAAAAAGGGAAACCTTAGCCTGTCCAAACATACCAATATCCAATCTTTATCAAAGAGGCCCAAGATCTCACCCTGAGTCGCACACATTCAAAGATTCATCTTTTCTTGGCAGAGTAACAAGAAACCAAGCCACGTCTTGACCATTCTAGATGGTAGACACTACAGGAATTGGAGATAAATGACCTTATTCGTCATTTACAATACGCCCCCCCAACAGACCCCCAGATCCTTGCCAAATCTGATGTTGCCTACTCCACGTAAGGAAAGAATAGAGATGAAGGCATGAAGTCTCTCATTAATAAATATACTGCAACCAACCCGACCTCCTGAGGATCCTTGGGCTCAAGGTTCACTCTGAAAACCCCAGTCATGGCCACCAATGGGAGAATATCTGCCTGTAGAAAACAGTGGCCCAAACCCCAACCTGAATCCAGGAAGATAAGCCTGACCCAGAGTAAGTGGCTATATAGGGACCACCAGGAACTCTGTCCACCCACCTTCCCTACAGGTTTGAGAGGAGGTTAATGGAGTCCTAGCTTCTTTCACATCATACCATCATACCCTACTCTAGGGACTGGAAACCCCTGGACTCCTTATGAGCTCTTTCCATGTCTGCTTTTATCCAGGTTCTACAGTTCCTGGTCTAAATGGGCCTACCCTAAAATAAAAAAATGTAACAGACTGCTATTATTCCTTCTAGGGCAGAACTTCTTGTTACCTTGAGCTTGTGTTCCTTCCTGTTAATGATGACAGCTGTGATCTGCTGGTCCATGAATATTAAGATAGTGCAGAGAAGAGCTGGGATAATTGCAGCTATCACAGTCCACCAGGGATTGGGACCAATGGGACTAATAATCCACCCTCGATCATCCCTTGTTGGCTAAGGAGAGAAAACAAGGTTTTATTTTTGTCTTTTAAGTTAACTATAGTAATTAGGGCAAAACAGATAAAACTGAATCACAATATCCACATTTCTTTTTATTCTTGAATGAGAATCCTTTAAAAAAAAAAAAGCATGAAATACAGAAACTCCTCAGGAAATCTATGACCTTATTCCAAATCCTCTTTGAAAGAGTCAATCCTCAGCTGTCAACTTCTGTGGAATATTCGTTAATCCTTCACTTCCTTCCCCTACTCTCCAAACCCTATGTACAGAGAAAGCAACTTGATCTCAACACTAGCCCAAGTAAAATACAATTGATAACAAAATCTGTTGTCAAAAAAGAATTTAATCATTTCCAAAGCCAAATGTAAACAGCTTTGACTACCGTCCTCACCACTCTCCTCCAGCAGCCATATAATGTATGTCTACAGCACAAATAAAGGCAAAGGAGGGCCAGATGCACGGAATCTCACAGGCTTAGACTGGATTTGTCCAGAGGCCTTCTCCCTTCAGCAGTGAAACAGGGGCCTGGGCACCAGAGACTTGAGAGAGAAGCCCGAGACTGCTGAACCAGGGGACTTGTTTGATCTAGGACCCTCTCCAGCATCCCTGTAAAACCACTGTTATACATCTTATTTGGGTGTTCATGACATACCCAAAGTCTCCTAGATCCTCCAAAACCCCCAGGGAACTCAGGGGAAGAGAAGGTCACCTTGTTTAGCAAGTAGTGCTGGAAGATCAAAGGCCAGGGATACAAATTGGCCCGGAATTGACCCAAACTCAATGAATAAAGCAAACAAAGACTGTTAACGTCCAAAGTTTTTGGTTCCATATCATACACGTCTTTAGGATTCAAAGATTCTTCAATAACGTCATCAAGTCCCAAATTATGAATGGGTTAGGTTCTGAAAGTTTACAGAATCTATGTTTCCTCAGTAACAATGTTCTAAGTGATAGTCAAATTCTCAGGCCAACACAAAAACTTATTAAACCCTGACTGACATTAACCCACTAGTAATAGTACTAGCCTTCAGACTGGGTCTTGGTCGCTGGGGGCCATGTGGTATAATAGGGAAGGAAAGAAGGAAGGAAATTTCTTCGCTGCTTCCTGAAAGTGAGGTCTGTCAATGAGCAACGTTTTTTTTGACATTCTCCCAATTCCCTTTCTCATTTCTCCCACCTCTGAGAGGACTTCCTCCCAGATGTCCCAGAAATTCAGTGCCTTCTGACTATCTTAAGCCTACCCATCAGGAAACCTTTCCAAAGACTGCTTAATGCTCCCAAATTACTTATTTTTACACAAAATCCATTCCTCCTGCAGGGTTGACCTCAGTGAGGTATTAGAGAGAAAGCTAATTGCGCTCCTTCACACAAAGGTGAGAATGACAGTCTCAGAGGTATTATATTTTTAAAGAAGGAGTTTTTTAATCCATAAATTTCTAACTGGTGGCATTTCAGTGAACTTAACAAAATAAAATAAAAAATTTTCAGGCAATATGGAAAAAGATATTTTTAACCAGGCCTACTTCAGGGAGAGAGGGAGGGAAAGGAAAGACAAAGGCTGCCTGCCTGTACGAGTCAAGGACTGCCTTCATTCCTGTCCTCCTTCTCCTCCCAGCCTCTCCAGCCTCTCATTTTATGCTTCTTCTCCAGCCACTGAGTACACCCAGGTTTTCTCTTCTCTCCACCCTGTGGGGATCTACGGAACCGAGCTCAGCTTTTCTATCTTCTCAGTTTACTCAGTTACTGCCCCCAAACTGAAATAGATTTGGAGTCCCCATGTATTAATCATTTGTCTTACTTTTTGTATAAGGTTTCCTGAAAAATATTATGGATTATAGAGAGTTATACAAAAAAACAATGGAATAAGGTTGAAGAGATGTCATGATTACTCTGGCAGGGGCCCTAGACCCTGGATGAGGCCACTGGGCCAGCCCATCTCCTCACATGGCAAGATCCTTGAGGGGAGGGCCGAGTCCAACATTCAGCGTTTTCATCCTTCCCAAGGCCCTTAAACAGCTGATGCTCCATGCAAGTGCTGTTAACCAGGTTTCTTCCAGGGACCCCCATTCCCACAGTATCTGGTATATATTTATATAAATGTACACATTCCTTTGTTTTAAATCTTAACATATTAAAAACAATAAGTGGCATTAGTGATAATAAATAATACTTTTCATTCATTAAACAATCTTAAGTTTTCTGTTCTCTGACTTTTTTGACCTGAACTTAGCCAAGCCTGAAGAGTTTGCTTTTCTGAGTGGTAAGGCACAAGGAGCAAGGTTCAGATTTAGAGGACTGAAAAACTCATGATTCGGATACAGGAAGGCCTTTGAAATCAAACTCGGGACCAGATTCTATGAAACCACATGAGGGCACCAAGTACCCTGAGATCTGTTTACCTTGAACACACTGGGAACTTGAAGCTTTGGTGATGGGATGCCAATCAAAAAATCAATAATCACCATTGTGAAGATAGTGAGGAAAACAGCAAAGTCACTCACCATGGAGCGTACCTGGCATGAGAAAGGATTGGAAAAGTGTTTTAGGAGGTTAAATGGGGTAGAAGAGAACTTAGTGTTGTAAAAGGTTTAAAAATCCTCAGAGGAGTGCTTTAATTTTATAGGTGAATTAATACAAGCATATTTAAACAACAGGAATATGTTAATATGCCCACGTTAATACCCAAAAAGTGTAGATATGACGGGGGAGAATGAATCATCTGACAAACTCCAGTGTAACCCACCCCAGCCTCTGAAGGGTTCTGTTTGGAGCATTTATGACCAGGTTTAAGCAATAGTTCTGAGAACTTGGAAGATTTTTTGGGACTAGCCAAGGTTCATTTGTGCCAGCCAAGAACGTTGGCAGCAGCATCAACTCCTCCTCTCCCTCAAACCCAACATCTAATCCATCTGCATGTGAGTCCTGCTGGCTTGACTTCAGAACATATCCAGAACCTCAGCACTTCTCACCCCTCCACTGTTGCTACCTAGATCAGTCACCATCAGCTCTTGTAACTACGGCAGACTCCTAACCTCACTTCTGCCCTTCTTTAAAGCCACTGGAGTGATCGTTTAAAACATAAGTTGGATCATATCACTCTTCTACCAAAGCTCTGAAATGGCTCCTCATTTCACTGAGTTAGAAACCCAAAGGCCTTCTTGGCCTATGAGGCCCACATACTGGCATCATTACCTCTCCGACTCCAGCTCCCAATGCTCTCCCGCTCGGTCACTCTGCCCCAGCCACAAAGACCTCCTTGTTGTTTCTTAAACATGACAGACTCACTCCCACCTCAAGGTCTTTGTACTTGCTCATCCTTTTCCCTCGAATGTATTTCCTCCAGGTAACCTCTTGGGTAGCTCCCTCACCTCCTTTACATTCACCTAAATGTCACCTCCTCCATGAGATCTTCTCTGATGATCCTACTTCACATTGTTCACCACCCTCCACCCCAGCACTTCCTATACTCCTTTCTTGCCTTATTTTTCTCCATAGCACTTATCACATTTTGTCCCTAAGAGGACTATGCCACTTTATAGTTTGCCGTAGCTTTAATAAAGTACAATGCTTCTGAAATGCCCAACATTTCAGAACATATCTTAGCCGCACGTAACTTCACTAATACCTTAACCTGACTTTGCTTTCCTTTGAAACCTGAGGTTTCCAGCTCTTCCTCCCTGGTTTTGTTAGTTCTCCACTGAATGTTACAAACATTCTCTGAACATGCAGCTGCTCCCACCATGAAGCCCATCCTGGGGCCCTTCTTTCCTGTGAACTCCTATAGCACTTACATCCCAGGTTGGCATCCAACGCTTTACTACTGTCTCAGGTGGACCTGGTTGTTTCATGGGTTTCCCCTTCCTATCTGACGGCAGAGACCACATTTTAAACTTCTTTTGCATCCCCCATAGCGCTTAACCTACGCCTGAGCAAGTAGTTAGTACACAACTGCCATTAGTTAACTATTTGTCTAGACCGGAAACAATGACCCCAAACTTATTTAATATGTACCATCCTTAACTACTGTGTAGGTTCACTGAAGTCTAAGAATGTGTTTTAGTCATGTAGGTGTGTACACTACATATCTAATCACCTGAGCCCCCCACCTAGTCACACATCCTGCTCTGCAAATGTGCCTGATGAAACCTCACTTACAGAAAAACCACCATTTCTCCTGATTCAAGTGCCTTTTCAAAGCAATGGCCCCTTTATCCACTCTACAGTCAGCCTCTAATTCTGCCCTGCCAAAACTGATCACGATACAAACAGCACCATCGCTGTCAGGAGCATTTTGGCTGCTGCAGTCAATGTCACCAGTGATCTCACAAGCTATCACAAAAGCCACCCCTGGGAGGAGACTTCAGGGTTTCCTATGTATCCAAAATGATCATCCCAAATTACCACATTCAGGAGCCAGCTCTCGCTATTGGATACTACATGTCCCAGCATTCTGGAAATGAAACTTAACAGCATTCTGGAAATGAGAGTTAATAGCTTTTAGACAACACTACTACCACTTTAAACTCACCTGGCATTTTTAAATCAAAAAGCTTTTAAATATTAACCCTCATCCCACACATCTATAAAAGAGGCTGCTGGACACTAGAAGAAGAGAATGCCACAGCGTTGTTCATCATGACATTTGGAACTCTCCACCTGCCACTCTGCTCAGCAAGCAGCAAGGAGGCTGAGAACAGGGCCTGTTATACTCGACTTCTAACACAAAAGAAACGCACGAGCATGCTACCTACCCTGGTTGGGAAATAGCGGCTTGTCTTAAACGTCTTTAAGGTGCTTGAGAGGATGAAGGTGGTGAAGAAGAGAATGCAGGACCAAAAGAGCACATCCGGAGTATAGGGTCCATGGTGGCCACACGAAGATCCCGTGAACTCTCCGTGCATCTCCTGGCATTCCTGGAGGAACAAGTATTCTGGGTGATGAAAGGCAGGCACAAGGGAATAAATAGCTGTAGCCTTCTGAGTCCACTGATCACTGTCACCCCACGGTTGCTGGGGAGCGCAGGCTGCCAGCAGCACCCACTTGACCTCCATGCAGTTGTGGGGCTCTCACTCGCAAAAGCCCCTCCCAGGCAGGGTGACTATTGCTTTTGAAAATGAAACCAGAACTGTCCCGAGCAAACATGAGGTTCTGGGAGGGCCCTAGCAATTTGTATTACTCATATTACAGAGGACTTCCAAATTTGAATGTTCTTCAAGCCCCACAAAGCCTGGGTCTGCCCCCCTGCCCTGCCTAGTTTCATCCCCTCATACCCCTGGTGCAGGGTCACTGGGTAGGGTGCATGTGGGAGAGAAGAGAGAGGTAATCTTCTTTTCCCTTTATGTACAAGAAAACTTTTGAAGGGGGAAAAAAGTCAGTAAGAATAGTTAAAAAAAAAAAAAAAAAAAAGCTTTATTTCTGAAAATTCCAGAGCTTGCCAAAGGGCTACCCCACTTCTACCTAGAAGGCCCTCCTAAACCTGGCGGCCACATTGCCACAGCACCTGGCAGCTCCCAGACTTACACTAACGGTCAGGTTAGCCCAGTGGACTTCCGTTGTCACGATGTTGTGGTCCTTCCAGTACTGCAGGGTGTGATTGTTTGGATTCTCTGGGAGAGTACACCTGCAGCTGAAGGGAAAAGGAAAACAGATTCCTGAGGAAAGCAGCCAAGTAGTCAATTAAGTATTTTTCGCCGTGACTGAGCTAAAGGCTCTAGCAGAGCTGCCTATTTCTCCTCTGCCCACTTCAGATCCCTGAGGTTGGTCCTGTTGGCTGAGGCCCATCTGTAGGCCCATCCACATCCCAATTTTTCAGTCAGTCATTACCGAAGATGGACTCAAAGCAGCGTGTGTGTCTCGGGTTAAATTCTGCGAACAACAAAGCTTGGCATCTGATGTGCCCAGAATGAGCCCTGGTGGTTTCCTTGCTTAGTTTCTATCTCTTAGGCTCTTCCTATGAAATTCAATCTACACAGCAAGGAGGACTTGATATTGCAGTCAGCTCTCAACAGCTTCCTCCAAGCCTATGTATCTTGCTCCCTATACTCCCATCACGTTCTTGCTCTAAAAATTGGAGTCTCCTGGAATCGTGATATAAGCTTTTCTTGACGCTGCATTATCTCTGGATATATCCCACTACCTCCACCATTCTCTGGCTTCCCCAGGCCTCTTCTTCCATCTAAACTTGTCCATCTGACCAGACCTGTCCCACTGGCCACCATATTGCCTCCCAGTCCCAGCATGTTTCATGCCTGAACTGGCTCCCAGTATACTCAACTAATACAGTCATTCCCACCAACTTTGTTTCATCTGTGAATTTAATGAGCATGCCTTCTAAGGATATAGGGTGACAGAATTAAAATTCAAAAAGATCTCAACAGTTTATAATAATAGGAGGAAATCAACAAAATGAAAATTAATAGGGAAAGCTATGAAGTCCTATATTTAGGTATAAAAAATCAATTCTAAACTTGGAAGCAACAAAGATGTCCTTCAGTAGGCGAACGGATGTACTGTAGTACATCAAGACAATGGACTATTATTCAGCACTAAAAAGAAATGAGCTATCAAGCCGTGAAAAGACACAGTAGACCTTTAAGTGCATATTACTAAGTGAGTAAAGCCAATCTGAAAAGCCTACACACTGTATGATTACAACTATGTGACACTGCGGAAAAGGCAAAACTACGGAGACAGTAAAAAGATTTCTGTCTTCCAGGGGTTGGGGTGGTGGGAGAGATGAATAGGTAGAGCACAGAGAATTTGTATGGCAACTAACTGTTCTGTATGATACTATAATGGTGACGTGTCATTATACATTCATCAAAAGCCATAGAATTTACAATACCAAGAGTGAACCCTAATGTAAACTGTGGACTTTTGGTGATAATGATGTGTCAATACAGGTTCATTGATTGCAACAAATGTACCACTCTGGTGGGAAATGTTGATAGCAGGGGAGGCTGTGCATGTGTGGGGGCAAGGGGTATATGGGAACTCTCTGTACTTTCTGCTCAATTTTGCTGTGAACCTAAAACTGCTCTAAAAAAACAAGTCTATTAAAAAAATCAGTTCCACACATGTTAACATAAAATCATTTAAAGAGTTGGGGAGTTCTAGCTTCACATCAGCTCCATATGAACCAACAGTGGAAGACAACTAAGAAAAATGCTATTTTGAGCTTTACTAACAAACAATTACAGTATCCAGATCCAAAGTCTACTCAGTCTAGGGTTGGTCACTTTTGTCCATCTCTTCTCACTAGGATATAAGCCTCATGAGGGTAGATCCTTTGTCTGTCAGGGTCACCGCTATGTTCCAGGGCCTAAAACAGTGCCTGGCACACAGTAGGTGCTCAACACATATTTGTTAAAGGAATAAATGAATGACATAAAAAGGTCAAAGAATAAACCTTACTCCAATGCCAATGGGCAATCCAGAACTCCAAAGCCAGTCGGCAATCCTCTAGGCTTCAAAGATTACACTCCCTAATGGTTATTTTCTAATAAAATAACTTTAAAATTCTAATAAATTTTTTATGAATTCTGGCTTTAAAAAGGTTAATGAATGGATAACTAGACTCTATAAAAGTGTATCTGTGGCTGCTTGGCAGATGCCTCCATGCAGTGCACTCTTGGCTCAGGCAGTTTCAGGTTGAAAGTGTTCACTTCACAACCAGACCCTCCACATCAGAACTGTGCAGCCAGGGCCAGCCCCGTGGCCTAGTGGTTAAGTTCAGCGTACTCTGCTTCAGCGGCCTGGGTTCAGTTCCCGGGTGCGGACCTTACCACTTGTCAGTGGCCATGCTGTGGCAGCAACTCACATACAAAACAGGTGGAAGATTGCCACGATGTTAGCTCAGGGTGAATCGTCCACAGTGAAAAATAACTGTGCAGCCAGAGGGAGGGAACTTCACATACAGAGCTAAAGGACGAGGGGCTTTAGTCATAATTTGGAGAATGACTATTCCAGAGAGGAGATGTTTTATAGGACCAGACTCTCCTAGAAGGTTGAAAACATAGCCAAATACTGTGTTTCTTTTCCAGCTGATCCAAACTGTATTGAACATGTGAAGAAAACACAGCCTCTTGAGTTGAAATCTAGGTAAGTAAACGGACTTCTAGATCTTTAGGATACTGAGTAAGAGACCTGTGGATAGGTAAGGAATCATTAACATATCTCTACCTAATGAGTCCTAAGAGTAGCCTGTATACACTTTCAGAGAATCGTGATAACATGGTCCAGGGTCACAGTCCTTGCAAAAAGAAGTTCCTCTCAACCACTAACTTGAATTCTCCCTGCTATCTTTGCAGCCTATTTTTGTCTCAATGCCTGGAACCAAAAGACATGCTCTGGAAGCATTTCTCACGTCCCCTCTGGGTTTCACTCTTAGTCCATCCTCTCCGTCGTCACTTTTGACTGTTCTCCCCTGGCAGCCCCCCAAGTCTTCACATCCGTATCTGAGCTCTGTTTCCCAGAGGGCCAAGATGCTTCCTTAACAGAAGCTACACGCACTGTCTGGCACACTACATCAGCCATTAAACTCAGGCCCTTTGCTAAATTAAAAAAAAGAAAGACAAGCAGAAAGCATACTTACTAATACAGGCTGAGGTGGTCCAGCTGGCTGTGCATGTGAATGGGGTAGGTCTCTGCTAGGTGAATCAACTTTTCTATTGCTTCATAGATGAAAATAATGCAAATCAGGGAGGCAAACGCTTCTTCAGTGAAGCGGGTAATGTAGCAGACAAGGGAACTGGCATCAGTTGCCACAAGAACAATGCACAGGAAGGCGGTCCACAGTCCGATACAAGCTCGCAGGGAGAGGTATGAAAGAGCGTAGTCTCTGAAACAAGACCAAAGTTCATCAAAGGCAAGGATGGATGGCATCACGAGACAAAGGGTCAGAAATGTGGTTGATTCATCACATAGTATCCATCCCAGTATTGCAACCCAGTTTATCCCTAACTCTGACTGCACTTCACTCCTAAACGCTGCCCTGGGACAACTGTGACAAAGCTTTGCTTCACAAGTGGTATTTGCCATAGCAAGGACAAGGAAAGTGGAGAAGGAAGGAATTGTCCCACACACGTTTCTGCCATTACTGCCCAACGTGATTAAGATCTTATTCTTGCAGGTAAGAAAAAGAAGCCGGCCCTTGTTCTACATGCTAATACAAAATGAAAAAAAGATTTTATAAGAAAAGTAGGGAAACAAGGGCATTGTTGAGTCTTACCACCACTAGCAACCAGAATATGAAGGAGGGATATTAGGCCAAACTAAAAATTGACTTGAAATGGAAATGGAGGAGTTTGAATTAGCTAGGGAAAGTCTTTTTAAAGATAAAAAGTCAAGGGCTGGCCCCGTGGCTTAGCGGTTGGGTGAGCGCGCTCTGCTGCTGGCGGCCCGGGTTCGGGTGCCGGGAACGCCCCGACACGCCGCTTCTCTGGCCATGCTGAGGCTGCGTCCCACATACGGCAACTGGAAGGATATGCAACTATGACATACAACTATCTACTGGGGAAAAAAAAAGGGAGGAGGATTGGCAATAGATGTTAGCTCAGAGCCGGTCTTCCTCAGCAAAAAGAGGAGGATTAGCATGGACGTTAGCTCAGGGCTGATCTTCCTCACAAAAATAAATAAAAAATAAAGATAAAAAGTCAAGACTTCACTAATGGCTGAGGGATGTTAATAAAGCTCTTTAAGACTAGGAGATCTTCTATTTTAGGTACAGTACTACCTGGGGGTAGGACAACAGACCAATGATGTTCTTCCTTCAGGCTTTTACAGTCCAGAATGATATTTGCCTGCTTATACTTGCCGGGACCCTGGCATTCAACCCTAACAGCACAAGAGCACATCTAGTTAGAGTTTCCAGAAAACCAAATGTCTTACTTGCAGAATTTGAACAAAATCTTTTCAAACACAAGCACTGGCCCAGTACTTCCCAGGATGGTGAGAGCCTGTCCGGCAAACAAGGAATAGGCAATCCCAGTCATGGAGGCTCCAAACAAGGATTCAATTGCACTCTGAGAGGGAAAAAAAAACCATCATCACTGAGTCCACAGCCCACCTGTAATGAGTAATGTGGACTTATGCACATTCCTGACTTAGCTCTCCTGTGTGCCCTGACAAGTCATTTGCAAAGAGTGATGTGTATACCCTGTCTAATACTCTTGTAAACGGATAACAGTTTGATAATTCAGGTGCCCGAATCCATCCATATGTGATTCCTTAACTAAGTCCTGTTCTCCAGTGACTCAATTCAGTACTTAAATATATATAGAAAGCACAACAACACCATTCACACTACAAGCTGTCATACAGAGTCACCTTAAATCTTACTTTCAAATGACATTAATATATCATTTTCCACCCTTGGAGCAACGGGCAATTCAACTGGGCAATCAGCTACTGAAATTGATACTCAAGCAGAAGAGAGTCTGTTCTAAAGGGAGAACTGTGTTGCTGCTTGGTATGAAGTCAGAGGACCACAGTAATTCAGTACAAAGAATCCAATCTCCTCAGTCCTAGCCCAGGCAATTTTCCCCCCAATGGACTTGGCTGCCACTATAATATTTTAAGTCTTGTTTGGGACCATTAGAAGTGGTTAAAAGTTCTTACTATGCGTCCCTCAGTGGCTTCTCCAAGCAATCCCCCAAAGGTGATGACAGGCGACATGCAGGCACAGTACAGGAACAGAAAGGAGGCCAAACACTGCAGGCTGAGTGCATCCCGGTAGTCGCTCCAGTACCAGGGGGCCTTCCGCTTGATGTCCAGCACCAAGCCCCCAAAGAGCCTGCAGAAACATGGCAGACAGGCCTCGAACACCGTCGCCCCTCCATGAAAGCATATGAACAGCACACATTTGAAAGCACTTCAAACGTGCTCTGAATGGAGGTTACACTTTGGCTTCAATTTGACCTCAAGTATAAGAGATCTCTCTAGAGCCAGCACAGATTCTATTTGCAACCAAGGGCATGAATTTGAATGATTATCCCAAGCAGAAAAAGCATGAATTTGGGTGTGCATATTACCCATTCAATAAAAAGTTCCAAAAAATTAACATGAAGTAAGTATTAGCTTCAAACTACAAATTCTGAGCTGTTAGGAGGAAATGTGCAAAACCAATTCAAAGTATTAAAATTGTTAGTTTTATTATATGTTTTCTAGATTCAAAGCCCCTTCACGTACTTTCCTACTCTGAAAGTACTTTCCTATCCACCTGACTCTTCAGCAATTAGCATAATAATTCATTCACGCAGTTGACAAGTGGTAGCAGATACTTCGTGCCAGGCACTGTGCCAGGTCCTGGAGAGGCAGGAGTGAGCAAGACAACACAGCCCTTCTCTCCAGGACCAACAGTCGAGTGCAGGAGACAGGCAGTGTCCTGAGGCGCCACGGCAGCACAGAACAGGAAGGCACATTTCAGCAGGGACTAGGAGAACAGACCAGGAGTGAGCCAGATGAGGCAGAGGGGCTAGCATGGGTGACACCTAGAGGTGAGAGGGCATGGCGGGTTCGAGATGCTGAAAGAGATATGGCTGGATAAGACAGTGTGAGGGGCAAATACCAACTGACAAGGCTGGAGAAACTGGAGAAGCCTAGTCACGAAGGGCCTTGTACACTGTTTTAAGGAATTAGAACTTTATCCTAATGGCATGTCAAGTCACTGAAAGATTGTAAACAGGAGAGAGACACAATTAAACGTGCATCCTGGAAGGATCATTCAGTCAGGGGTGTAATGACTGGAACACAGGGCAGGACTGGAAGTAGTGGAGTGGGCTCAGGACTAATCAGGAGGTAGAATCAACAGGACTTGGTGGCAGGACTTCAGGATCCCCCTCCACTTCCCAAGGATGAGACAGATCGAGAGCAAGATATCCCACACCTAGGAGCAGTGGTGTCCTCAGACTGGGTCGCTTTTTCTAAGAGTGGGGTCACGGCACCAGGGTGAAAGTTGATAAGTGAGTAACAAAAAGAGCCACTCAGGAGCCAGCCCGGTGGCACAGCGGTTAAGTGCATGCGCTCCGCTTTGGTAGCCTGGGGTTCGCAGGTTTGGATTCTGGGCATCAGCCGACGCGCCGCTTGTCAAGCCATGCTATGGCAGCTTCCCATATAAAGTAGAGGAAGATGGGCATGGATGTTAGCCCAGGGCCAACCTTCCTCAGCAAAAAGAGGAGGATTGGCATGGATGTTAGCTCAGGGATAATCTTCCTTACACACACACAAAAAAGGGCCACTCAGCATTCTACACGACAAATTACCTGGTTTCTTCTACAAATCAATGGCACAGAAAAAAAGGAAGGAGGGCTGTTATAGAATGGGAATGTGAAATGCAAACCCTGATTGGATCCTATGTCAAACAAATGAACTCTGAAAAGATGTTGCTAAGACAATCACAAAAAGTTGAATATGGACTGATCATTAGACAATTTAAGGAATTATTGTTAATTTTGTTAGATTTCATAATGGCATGAGAGTTGTTTTTAAAAATGTCCTTATCAAACAGAGATACATACTGAAGTAGTTTCGGGTAAAATGACATGATACCGGTAATTTGGTTTAAAATAATCTAGAAAACATAAAAACAAAACAATTAAGTCGGGGGAGAAATAGATGAAACAAAATTGGCCAAATGTTGATAACTATTGATGGGCACATGGGATTTATTATACTATTCGCTTTTCTTTTTTGTATGTTTGAAATTTTCTGTAATAGCTAAAAAAAACAAAAAACAACTCTCTCATGAAAAGATGCCTGGCCAGCTCTTTCTTTCTCGCTGCCTAGGAGCCTGGAAAAGTACCACGAGGCCTGGACCTGTATGCGGGGGGAGAAGGCAGCTCTCTTTCTCCATCTGAATGCTTTCTGTCATCTCGCCGGGGACAGTGGGTATGCAGGTGGACACAGGGCAGATGCTGTTCTGTCTTACCCACTTGCTCTTTCCTCTGGTTTGGGTGGGTGTAGTTGGGATTCATCCTTCCTCAGCTTATAGCAGTAACATCACTGTCTGGGTCTGGGCTTAGGGGAGAGAGGCCAAGCCAGCCTTGTGACCTGCTTTGGTTTTAGCCTCTCTGGCAAACCTAGCTTGGGTAAGGAGCTATCAACAGGGTCTAACCTAGAGCATGAGTGTCCCACCTCAGGGTTTGGGTCTGTTTCCAGTTTGTAAGAAAGTATCACTTTGTCTTGCTTTCTCCTCTGGGTACTAGCCCCTCAAGGACTTTATAGGCACCACGATTAGTCTGGGGCAGGATTCAAGTGTTTCTGGGTCCTTACCCAACATAGCATCTTAGTACAACGTGAATATCACCTCTTAATAACCAGTGACCTTCCTCTGAAGGGTATTATTCTGGGAGAAGAATCTCCTTCTGCAATAGTGAGCCTCACCCCACTGAGCTGCTGTGATCACTTGGCCCCTGGACGCAGGAGGGGCCTTCAGGGAGGAGCGTCTGTGAGTAATAGACAAAGATTTAATGTGAAATGGATTTATGAGAAGTCACTGAAAGGGAGGACACCTGTCTGCCTACTAGACAAATGAGAAAAGATCTGAGGCTCTTCTCGATGGTATAACTATAAATTAATAAAATAATTTCTGAATGCTGTTTATGGAGTCAGCCTCCTACCTCACTCACGCATAAAATCAGACCATAACTGCCCATCTACCAGATATTAATCAGACACGGATGCTTCTCTTCACATTTGAGACCTCCTTTCCCTTTCAACACTGCCCTTGATGTTCAAGTTTTGGGGGGCTATGAATTTAAGCTTGATGCAAGAAAGGACTTACCCGCATAGAGGGTCACTAGGCTCTGGAGCACTGACTTAGGGAACCCCTCTCTGGAGGGCTTTAGGGACAGGCCAGCCATCCATTTGTCAGGTGTGCTTTGGCAGAAACCTGTTTGAAGCGTGGGGGGATCATCGAGATAGCAGCTCCTGATTCTTTTTTTCATTAACCCTTCCCAAAAGTGGCATCCCCAACAAGGTATATCAATCTACCTTGGAAAACTTCTTTTCAGAGTATCCTCCCTGCTGTGCAGCGTCTGGCCTAGGAACACTCTAGTCAGACTTTCCTCTTCGTTACCTATGGGAATGAGTCGGCCTCACCGCCTGGGTCGGCATCAGGGAGGTCCCAGACACTGTCCTGGCCCTGGCTTGTGGGGTCAGATAACACAGAACTCAGAGTACCATTTTCAACGTTGCCTCCTTCCTCACCTTCTTAGAGTCCACACTACCCCATCTTCAAATACCTCTCCATCCAACGAGGATAACATCCCCTAAGTCTCCAAGTTTTGCCCCAGGTTGTACAACATCATACCCATAAAGCAGGCTTTCCACCTCAAAGAAACACAACTAATGGTATGAAGAATTATAAAACCCAGGCTAATGTAATTTTTTAAATCTTCTTAATCCTTTTTTTCCTTTTTTCTCCTAGCTTTATTGAGGTATAACTGACATATAACATTGTGTAAGTTTAAGGTGTACAATGTGATGATTTGATATACCAGAAAGGTCCGGAAAATTCTAGGGGAAGTTTCATGTTCACTCCCTACATAATCTGAGATGGCACAGAACTATAATCCCTGATGTGGGCATTAGGTCACCTGCCTCAAAGGCTATAAGAGAAGAAGGCCATGTGTCTCAAGGTCCTTTACTAAGGGCTCTGAGGAAGCTCAGGAGCTCAGGAAGAGGAGGCACCCCCCACACCAAGCAGACCGAGGCTCTGAGCCCAGATAACCCTTCCTTCCAGCTTTGTCAGTTCGACAAGTTCCTGACACAGCATTATGGGAGAACTTCCTCCACCCCTATTTGAATTTGTGATGAAGGTACTTTGGTTCTGTGAGTAAAGGGGTTTGGGATTAAACATGTGATGATCCTGGCCGTATAGGATTTTCTTTTGGGATGTCAGGCACCATTTCTGGGATTCTATAATTACTGAAATCCAATTTAATGGTCTCCCAAACCCCCATGTGGAATTGATTATAAGTGACCCCCTCAAAAGGCCTGGGACTCTAGTTTATTCTCTCCTTGACACCAAAAGAAATCTGAAAATATCACCTCTGCACGGATATCTGTTTGGAGGAAACACTGTTGCCCTCATTTCCACTACTTTCAAACTCTAAGTCCTGGGGTATGGACGCTCTTTATATTCAAAAGATAAATCATAACTCTGAAATACTATCAAATCCATACCCAAGACCCTCCTCTAAAAAACACCACCTCCTCTAGCACAGTCTCAATCCTGGAACCTATTCTAAGGACAGATGCTTCCCTTGAACTGTCCCTCAATATCAGCCTCCCCACCCAATTCAGACTTCTTCTAACTATAGAGAAAACACTAAATTTACTCTTGGAGGTGGCTCCCTCCTTTCAGCATCCCTTCCATCAAAGGGCTCCTCTTTGCCTCCAGCGATCCCTCCCCAGAGCCCAGTTATTTGTCCCCCTCAAATACCTTCCTCTATGCAGGAAACATATACGCTACATGGACACTGCTAGTTAAGCGCACTCTCTCCTGCTTCTCCATTTCCTCTCCTGGCTTCTCCCTGAATTTCCAAGAGTAGAAAAATAAAGCACTCTCCACAATTCCAAAAAAAACCCCTGAGTTTCCATTGGGTAGAGTATTGAGGTTATAAAAATAAGGAAAGCAATTTCAAGCGAGGAGGAAAAAAATAAGGCAAAAACAAGGCAGTTGAGGGTGTTAAAAGCTTCTTTCCATGATCTGAGTCCCGTCCTGAGAATCTCCGCTCAGCAGATCCTTCTTAGACACAAGCACAATTTGCAGAGCCAGAACCATAGTCTCAGTCTTCTCCCACAATCTGGGGGACACCCTGGATGTCACTCCAACCCAAAATATCACCTTCTTTTGCCACCTTCCTACCTGGCAAATAAAGCCTCCTGGTCTGGGGACCTGCTTCCCTCACCTACTAGAGAAGCTCCTCGTTGGACATCTGTCCTTAAAATCTTGGCCCAGAAGAGTAGATTGCCTATTTTGAGACACACACACACCTAAAATACCACCTATTTTCCTACCTTAAGGGAGTTTTCTAACTTAATCACTCAATATTTATCTATAGCTAGTTCATTCATGCTACAGAAGGGGCATCATTCTAAAAGTATTCATTCATTCATTCATTCATCAGATATTGAGGGCCTACTCCGTGCAGAGCAATGTGCTGGGTGCTAGGAACGTAATGAGGTCCCTGCCCTTACGGAGCAAACGTTCTTTCTTGCAGGAAAGACAACAAATCAAGCAATAATAAGAAATCATGATAAGGGCTGTACTGGGGAGCTAGGCTAGGGGGAGTGTGGCTGGCAGGTGGGGGACAGAGCTCAAAGCTGTGTCACCACATAGTAGGAATACCTAACCTCATCTATAGAGAGTCGTGAAAGGCTTTCCAAAGGAAGTAACACCTAAGCTGAGATAAAGGATAAGCAGGAGAAGCTAGGAGATGAGGAAGGGGACAAGTGTTCAAATCCGAGGGAACAATGTGTGGGAAGGACTGGAGGTGAGACAGAATATGGCAGGTGGTTTGAGAAACGTGAATGAATGAATACAATATTTGATATATTCATAATACTGATAGTCAGTGGTTCCATTTGAAAAGTCATTCCCAGTCATTAAAGATACCACAGAGAAGAAGGCTGAAAGCAAAGAGGATGACTTACTCCTTCACACAACTTCAGCCCAGTAAGCAGTATTAACTGTGAAACATCACAGAACTTACCGCCCAGTGCGCTGAAGTTCTGGCCCACTGTGGCCCCCATGTGGTTCCGGTTCTATGTGGCAAACGTTTCCATTTGGAACACCAGGCATTTTCCTTTTCTCCTTTTAACAGAGGACCACAAAATTAGTAAAGTCAGCCATCTGTTCCGTCACTCCTGCCAATGGGGGGAGTGGTGATGAGATAATTCAAAAGCAGCCAAAAAATACCCAAGTGTTTGTAGCTTTCAAATGCATTTACTGATTTGGGGCAGTTTTGACTTTCCTGAAAACAACAACATATAATTTCTCCTCCTTTCTACTAGTACCTGACTCAACTGCCTTGCCCAGAAACAGAAAAATGGAGACTTTGGCATCAGATATGACCTAAGTTCCAGTTTCAAATCCATCTATGTAATCTTACTTTACCTTAAAACCTTGAAGATATTTTTATTTCTCATTTGTAAAATTAAGGATAACAATACCTATTTGGGGATGTTGCTGGGAAGGTTGAATAAGCATATGTAAAGCACCTGGTGTTTAGTGCATAGCGGGAGTTCCCTTCCCATCTCTAACTTGTCAAAAAGTAGGGGGGTTCTATTTGCTCCCTCTCTACAACTTGTTCTTTCCATTTAATGGCTTCTTCGTTCATGATATACTCCCAAGAAATAGCCTCCCCTCTTCTCTCTGCCATCCCACATCAATCCTTCAAAAGTTGGCTTTAAATTCATCCCAGAGTAATCCTGACTGATCCCATCACACCTGAGCCAATCCAGGTTCCTGCATATTCATTTTAATTACTGTTCTGACATTCTAGGTCCCCCGAAACAGGGCCAGGTCTTGATTTATTTCGCATACACCCACGTGGTCTTAGCTTGGTCCATGGCGGGTATTCACTAAGTGGCACTAAGCCACCATTGGCCAATGTGCATACATTACCTGGGAAGGGACGTTTTTGGGTGGCTCGATTCTAATGGAGGGGTCCCACTCCCCTGGTGGGAGCACCGTCACCTGGTCTAGGAACTCGTCAACCCCAGCCAGGAGATCATCTCGCTCTTTTGCCTTATATGCCACATCATGAAAAATCTACAGAGAAGGAAATACTCTCAGGAAAGTTGAAAATAACTTTAGTTAAAACAAGCACCAATGGATATGGTGAAAGATGGATATGACCTCTTGATTTTTCTCTCTGTCATGGGGATCTGAAATGTGGAAAACTTTAGCACTTAGAGAAGCGCAAGAATAAAAGGACAAAAATGGACCTGAAGATGAGATGGGTCAAAAAGAACTAAATACATGTCTGTTAGTATAAGAAGAAGTAAGACATGACTCTAAAGTTGTATAATTCTGATACCTTCTCAAAGAATAGAACAAGAGGCAAGATGCATGGGAAATTTTTCCTGATCATAATGGTTGGAAAAACTGGATGGAATTACTAAGGTCTTCCATGAAAGAAGCCTCCCAAAGAGAGCTGATAAAGCACAGCCTCCACCTCCCTCTGCCTGCTAAGACATATGCCTTGAAAACCCTGCTTTGCAACTTACATGAGCAGGCAGTCCTCACCAGGGTGCAGTGGGAGTTCAGCACCATGGCAGCCAAAATGTCTGGTTGCCTTAGTACACTCACATTACAGTGCTCAAGCACAAACCCCAGACCCTTATACAAGCTGGTCTCATCTATGTATGACAGGAGTGAGGTTTCTTTATGTAAATAGCTTAGATGCATTTAATTAACCCTCCTCTCTAGAAAGTTAAGTCAACGTTAATATCTTTCTCTCTAGGTAGCCTACTTGGCAATAATAGTTTTCCCAGAAAAAGATTTCTCTGCATCCTTGATTATTCACAAAGGGAGAGATGACATAGGAAGAAAAATCTCCCAGAGGGCTTGGTCCTCCCACAACAGGCATTCAGAGAAGTGACCTGGACTGTTTCGCAGCAGACACTGCAACTGTAATTATTTTATCCACAACAACTAGCACAGTGCCAGACACAGATAAAATACTCAGTAAATATTTATGAGATGAATGAATGAATAAAAGAAGTGGTGCGTACCTCATCTGTCATGATGGTGGCCATGGATCTGCCAATCTCGTGATACTGCTGACCTTTCCCTACTGGACCCAACAGGATAAACAGGAATCTGGCAACATATGCAGAGGATGAAATTATGTAAGTAAACTTAAAGAAGTGGCATCTTACTCCTCTCTAAACAGCAGAAATTTCTCTCTCCTATCAAACAGAAATCATCCCAGTACCTTCAACAAAAGAAGACAGACTAATGATGGAGCAATGTGAGTTGCCTTGACCTAATAGCTCCACTGTGGGCAGTGGAAGTTATCTGTATGACTCCATTCAATATGTGGTTATAATTCTTAGGGTTTCCATAGACACAATTCCTTGCTATAGAAAGGATGCTTTTTCAAAACATGGCATTGTAGTACAAATTCAAGGTTATCTGAACCGCATTTATTGTTCTAATAAGAAAATGATGGGGAGAGGAGAGGGATAAGGAAGTCGAAGTGATCAAGCCCTGTAGAGGAGTCTAAACTGTGTTCTGGACATCTGTATACTCTGTAATTAACGGGGCTCTGAATCACCTGAATCACCACTTTCAGACTGCATGAATAGCCTTTTGAACAAATGCGGACATATTTACAAACCAGACAAATCCTGCCAGAACCGTGGAAAGAGACATCAATACGTTTGCTCAGAGACATTGCCCTGGTACACAGCTCTGTGGAACTGGGAGAGTAAGACTTGGCCTCTCATCACAAGGGATCGGCCCTTGCTATGCCCTCTGAATGCTCTTCAGCTCTCCATTTCCAAGGCTGTAGGTACTGTGCAGTCATCGCCTTAAAAGTCTTAGAATTCTTCTGCACAGAGGTTAATGAAATATACCCCAGTTTTCTGAGGTCACTGCTGAATTTTAAACAGCATTCCCCAAATTAATTAATCTTCACTTTTGGCACTAGCTAGTTTCTTCCACCAGAGCTCACATCAATCTGTACTTTAGACAGCAGGCACTGAGCTTTGCTGTCTGTCTTTACCTTGTTGGGATGGGCACTTCTGTCAGGCCTGAGAGGAGAACAGCTGGAGACAGCCTCACAAAGGCCACGATGGGGCGGTCCAGAGAATCCACCTCTCCAACCAGGACGTTTGAGGCCTCAGCCCCAGTGGGAATTTTCTTCATGAAATGAAGGTCCACCTGAAAGTCCGAAAGAACCCTCCAACAACTTGGGAGCCAACACCTCAAACATCAATCACCCTCTTCATACCTTACAGTCATATGCCATTTTATAATTTAACATATGTTTTCACACTCTGTTTCACTTGATCCTTACAATAACTCTGTAAGGTGGATAAGCTAGGTCTTATTAACCTCATTCCTTATGTTAAAAAATGAAGCAACTAAGACCCAGAGAGGTGGAGTCAACTTGCTCAGGACAGCAGAGCCTTCAAGAGAGAGAATTTAAATCCAGGTGCTCTGATTTGAATTCCATTACACCACGCATTCTCAAAGAAGAATGTTTTTGAAGCTCTAGGTCGAGTGTTTTCCATCTTAAAATACTTGAATGCTTTGTCAGGGGGTTCAGGTTTTCTCAATAAAACAGGGAGCCTTCTGAGCAGAGAAGTGACATGACACTATCTGTGTTTTAGAAAGACAGTGTCAAGGATAGACCAGAGCAAGGAAAGGCTGGAGGCAGGGAGATCAAGACTTGAACCAGAAACTGCAGGGAGGCACTGCTACTGCAGAAGGCCTTGGACACCAAAGGCACAGACCCAAGAAGAGTTTTAACCACAAAGTAGTTTCAGGAGACGGTAGCAAAAATATTGTTTTGGCAAAACCCTTGGAGGTAAGAAGGAGCTGCTGGAGAGCAGGTACCAAAAAATAATTCTGAAAAATCAGGAGGTCTGTGTGAGGGAGGATTATCAGTGGCTGGTCTCAGGTTCAGCATGTTGAACCTGGTGGAACAGACTAACGAGTCAGCCCATCCAGGCTGGAGGAGAAGACCTGAGCAGATGGGCCTCCTTTTCTGCAGAAAGGGCTCTGGTGTTGGAGAAAGGTGCTCAAATACCAAAGTTCACCCAGCTCCCAGCAACTGCACTCTGGGTTCCACTAGAGATACTCAGGCCTTTGAGCCAACTTCCCAGGGCTCTGCTCACCTTGGTTAAATCCATGGGGCTGTGTTCACAATTGGCTCCATTTTTTACTTCAAGACTTGTAGTTGGAACAGACTGAGGAGACACAGTTTGACCTATTTGGAGAAAATCAAACAGAATTCTCTGACACACCATCCATCATGGGTTAGCTATGACTACGTCCCGCAAAGCCCACAGAGAGGAGAGGTTAAGATGACTCTGAAGCTAGGACCCACACATACCCATCTCCTTATCTACTAGTTAGTAGTAAAGAAAGGACAGAAGTCTTACTACTCCTGCACCTTCTTCCCAAACACACTGCGGTCCTCTTTTCTTCCTCCATTAAGGTGGTAATCTTTAACCAGGAGTGCTTATCAGAGACTCCTACGGAGAACTTTTCAAATATATAGATTCCCAGCAAATCTCCTGCACATTGTGATTCAGTAAATGTGGGGACAAGGAGCCCAATACAGATGAGGCCCTGCCTGGCCACAGAAAAGGAAACCAATTAGCAGCTGAAATTCACTGAGTGTTTATAGCCCACCAGGCACCTGGCTAAGGGCTTTACATGGATTAACTTATTGAAGCCTCACAATAAACTTACAGAGTGGATCCTATTATTATCTCTATTTTACAGAGAAGAAAGTGAGACTTAAAGAGGTTTAGATTACCCAAGGTCACACACTCTGCAAGTGGAGGAGCCAGAATCTCAAGCCTAGAAGTCTGACTCAAGAGCCTACACTACTGCATTTTGCCTCCCTAATCTAAGATATCTGTTTACTCCTAAAAAGCTCCAGTTGACCTTCTCTGGCCCCAAATTATCCCCAATGTGGGTATCTTCCAAAAGCCACATCAGTTCTGAGGCCACTCTGGGGCACAAACCTCTCACTTTGGGTCCACTGAAATCTGGGTGAGGAAAGCATCCCTAGGCCACAAGAGATAGATGGCCACCAGTCCTGGTCACCCATCTTGCCAATCACCAGAAAGTACTGTGTCTAAGTGAGCGTGGAAGCACACTAGACAAATACAGCCCCTACCCTCTAGCAACTTAGCATCTCCAACTAGTGCCTAAATGTCTTATTAACAAAAAGAGAAAACAGTCACTCCTAATAATCTTACCATTTTTATCCATGGAATGTGGATCAGATTGCTTCTTGCCAACCTCAGCAAAGGAGCGAACAATGGGAATGAGGTTATTTCTCTTCTTTTCATTCTGATGATGATGCTTTTTGAGAAGGGCTTCCCGTACTTTAACCCTGATGCTGTCATTCAGGTCACTGAACAGTTCTTGCTGGTCCAGGATCAGGTCTGGAAAGTAGGCGCTATCATGAACACTCAAACTGACGGTCAATGAACCCAAAGAGGGCAACATCGGGTCTGGGGTGATGGGTGAGGGGCAAGGAGGAGGGGAAGCAGTTCTACCAGTATCATTGAAGTACAATTTTCACTTCAGTGCCTGAAAGAGCTAGTAGATGATAGCAGCTGTGACAAGTTATACTTTATTCATGTAACAAATCATTATTATTAGAAATAGAAACTATTGAGCACTTAATATGTGCCAGGAACTACACCACGAACTTTACATACTTTATCTAATCTAATCCTTATGGAAACCCTGAGAAGCAGGTAGTATTATAACAATTATTACAGATCATGAAACTGACACCCAAACATTACAAAATTCCCCAAGGTCTCATGTCTAGTAAGCTGCAGAGCTGGGATTCAAACCCAAGACTGTCTGACTCAAGCCCACAATACTACTCATTTTGTTCTGTCATCTGCCAAAGTGCCTCTACCTTCCCTTCCTCCAAGATTTTAACATTGCTGTGATTGTCAGGAGGAACTATAACGTAGAAGTCCAAATGACCATCTGAAGTGGAAACTATAAGAATAATTCAGTTAACTAAACATCCAGACAACTACCACCAAGCATCAACCTTTAACCTGTCAAGCCAAGCAGAACAGAAAGGAAAAAATCCCAACACCTGCTTCTGAGAGGTGGCCAGCACAGCAGCCAACAGTATGGCTTCTAGAGCTGGAGGCCCACATTCTATCCCACTTCTACCACTTTCTAGCTGTGTGATCTTGGGTAAGTTATATAACTTCCCTGTACTTCAGTTTCTTCATCTGTACTATGGAGCTCATATTATCACACACCTTAGAAGCTTGTTATGGAAAAGTATTGAGATAATATATAAAGTGCTGACTCACAGTAAACACTTGAGACAGTTTCCCTATCCTTAGTACTAACATGAATACTTCAGGTGCCCAATGTGAAGAAGCAGAGCAGTTTTACTCCAATCCTACATACCTATCCTCAAGCCTCCCAAAAACTTCAACGTACCCTCAACTCCAGCTCCATCCATGACTATCCAAGTGCTAGAAGCAATAAATAAAGAAAACCTATTTCGAACATTCAACCAAAGCTCTGTTTCTCTGTCTTTATATTGATTGGTTCCTTGCCCCCATATTATTAACATGCTTTAGGATCCTTCATCTTTTTTCTTTTTTAATAATTTTATTTATTTATTTTTTTCTCCCCAAAGCCCCAGTAGATAGTTGTATGTCATAGATGCACATCCTTCTAGTTGCTGTATGTGGGACGCGGCCTCAGCATGGCCGGAGAAGCGGTGCGTCGGTGCGCGCCCGGGATCCAAACCCGGGCCGCCAGCAGCAGAGCTCGCGCACTTAACCGCTAAGCCACGGGGCCAGCCCTAAGATCCTTCATCTTAAAAAAAAAAAAACAAATAGAAGAGTGTCCACCCCAGGTCCCCCTCCTTTATTCACTGCCTCCTCTCTGAGGAGGAGGAAAGGAAAATTCCTCAGCCTGTAATTTGGCTACCTTGATGAAAGTGCTTTTGATAAAATCATCAATAACCTTCCAGTTGCTAAAACTGAAGGATGTTTCTAGTCCTTACCTAACCTGACCTCTCTGCAGCATTGGACACTGATAAATTGAAACTCTCTCCCCTCTTGGCTTTTGTAGCGGGTTGAATGGTGTCCTTCCAAAAGATATGCCTATGTACTAATCCCCCAGAACCTGTGAATGTGATTTTATCTGTGAAAAGGGTCTTTGCAGATGTAATTAAGTTAAGGACCTCGAGATGCGATCATCCTGGATGATACTGACAAATATCCTTATAAGAGAGACACCAATGAGAAGTCCATGTGAAGACAGAGGCAGATTGGAGTCATGCAGTCATGAGCTAATGACACCTGGAGCCACTAGAAGCTGGAAACTCAAAGGAGCAAGGAATAACCTTCCCCTAGAGCCTTTGGAGGGGACACAGGATCCCATCAGTGCTGACCCCTCCCTGGGTCCCCATGTGATCCCAGAGAGGCAGAATTACTTGGATACTTGAAATGGAGAAAAGTTTGGAGAAACCTTTATTTAACCTGTCCAGCCAAATAGAGCCAAGCTGAGGGAAAAATCCTCACGTGCACCCAGGTGTTTCTCAAACTCCATTTCCAAAACATAGCAACTTAACACTCAACTACACCAGGAGACTCCATCAGACATCGCCCCTTCACATCTGGCTGAAGAAGTGGGGATACTTTGGCTCAATTTCTTACACCTCTTCCCTAGCTGCCATATTTAAAAAATCTTTAACTCTAACTCCTTTTTCTCTACACAACTCCCAGTTGCCCCTTTCTCTAATCATTACCCAAACATCTCTCTGTTGTTGCACTTATTTTAATTGTTCCATGGCTATTTCCCCCACTAGAAGGTGAGCTCCGTGAGGACAGGAACAGCATCGTGTCTTTATTTTCTCTAATCATTACCCAAACATCTCTCTGTTGTTGCACTTATTTTAATTGTTCCATGGCTATTTCCCCCACTAGAAGGTGAGCTCCGTGAGGACAGGAACAGCATCGTGTCTTTATTCCTCTATGCCTAGCATAAACAGATACAAAATAAATGTTTGCTGAATGAACAGGCAAATGGAAGACTAAACACCATGTCATTTGAATCCCATAATAAGCCTGTGAAACAGAGTAGTTTCTTAGTTTGAAACTCATCCCACAGCTAAGGACATTGAGGTCAGGAAGGTTAAATAACTTGCCTAAGGACACACAGCCACTTTATTTTTTCCTTTACGCCACACTGCTTAATTTACACAAATGTTCCTCTGTTTTCCCTCACCTAACCTTACCTGAAATTTCTTCTATGCTGTTTGCACGCATGTCCAGAAGGACTGTTCCATTAATAAGGCAGCTCCTTAGCTCAAAGAGACTGTGCAATGAAAGGGTTGCCACATAAGGCTTGCTCCAGCGCTCTCCTCCGTCCTCAACATCTTCTTCAAACTTCAGCCACCTGAAAGCATTACAAATAGCTAGATGCCAAAGATAGAAAATGAGGAATTTTCGAGGGAATTTTTAATGTAGGCCACAAAGAAAGATATCTGAATAAACATATTGAACACCATAATCTAATCTATATGTTCAGGGTACATCGGTAAGTGAAAAAAGCAAGTTATAAAACAGTGCAAAATTGAGTATAGTTTGAGTCAATCTTTATTTAAAGAAAATTTAAAAAACACAAACTTGCACATGTATAAGACACCACATGTTATATTCCTCATTATCCCTGGGGTAGTAGGATTACACATAATTTTCATCATCTTCTTTTTGCCTATCTTTATTTTCTAATTTTCTATAATGAGCATGCATTACTTGTGCAATTAAAAAACTAGATCTAATCTACATTATTTGGATACACTGACAAATCACATTAATAAAATGAAACTATTTTTCTTTTTTAAAAAGCCAATCTGTGTGACCTTTAGAAGTCTGCAAAGACAGAATGACAAGACTCATTGCCTTTTCGCTCGGTCTCAGGTCGACTGGCTTGTTAATCCTCTCTACCCATAGAAAACGTCCACGGATACAGCAGGCATCCAGGAAGAGCTGTTCCAGTGAGGGCTGGAGCCACGCTTGGCTACTTACCCTCCCTGCCTTCTTCCCTGAGGCTCAGGCATGCTGGCTTTGCATCTCCATAAGCCTCACTGGTCAGTTACTACAGAGCCCTAGACATGGCCTTGGTTTAATCTGAGGGCTCTTCTGGGGTCAGAGCCTCAGACAAGCATGGTCATTCTACAACCTCTCCACGAAGCCTACTGTCAGGCTGGCTATAATACCAAAAGTCTCTATGAGGTTGGATTGTCCCCTAGGACACCTCAAAAATTTTGGAACTTCCAGTGAATTAAAACCCAAATGAGGGGCCGGCCCCGTGGTGTAGGGTTAAGTGCGCGCGCTCCGCTGCTGGCAGCCCGGGTTCGGATCCTGGGTGTGTACGATGCACCACTTGTCAGGCCATGCTGTGGCCGCATCCCATATAAAGTGGAGGAAGATGGGCACGGATGTTAGCCCAGGGCCAGTCTTCCTCAGCCAAAAAAGAGGAGGATTGGCATGGATGTTAGCTCAGGGCTGATCTTCCTCACAAAAAAAACCCCCAAATGACCCTATGGTTCAGTTGCAGGAAAACTCTGGACCTATGCTATGTCTGCTGGGCTAGGTCCAAACCAAGGTGGCCCCACTGGGCATCTTCTAAGCCAGACCTATCCTATTAAGACAGCCCATGAACTACTCTTGCCCCTAAACAAATGAGAGAGGATCCCCTTAAAGGTTCCATATTTCTGTCACCAATCCCAGGCCCAAGGTCAATTGGCATAGGTGTTATCAGAGACATCACAAAGAGGCCAACATCAAGACTTCACACAGAAGACTCTGGAACATCAGTTTCCATGTCAGTCATCACTTCTCCCATGAAGAAATAAAAAGTAGGCAGGCCACTTGCTGAGGGGTACACATTTGCTTACCCAAGCAAATCGCAACCCAGGTCATTTTAGGCCTCACCTGGCTGTCTCCTTCCACTCGGCATCTTCTCCCTCTTTCATACAGATCTCGTCCAGCTCCGTGAACAGATCATGAGGCACATGCTCCTCATCGTCCTCAGTGCCAAGAATGAACTGAACACGCTGAGATGGTGTGTCTGGAAAATCAACCACAGAGAAAGGCCTGCTCCCAGCCTCTCCTTAGAACAGAAATAGCATTCTGCCATACTTAGCGCATCTGGGGGCCTTACAACTTCAGGAACATACAGAAGACAATCTTGAACACAGATCAAAAAGATTTTTTACCCTCATAAAAAGAAAAAAAAAGCTATTCTGTAGAAGCAGTTTCACAGAGGAAAAAATTATTAACTAAGTCCACCTGAAGAAAACACACAAGAAACTGGAAATCTGACAAATTCGATCAAAAGGAGTGGCTAATTCTCTAGCACATGATTTCACCTACTATGATACTGATTTTGGGGGCCTGAACTGTGAAGTTTTCAGGAAGATACTTTGATTCTTAGAGGCATTTCTTCTTGGAAGCAAGCTCTGAAAACTCTACAGAAAGGCTACAGAACCGAGACCCCCTGCTTGATGTCCACACATTCCCTCAGCCTCCCCAAGCTCCCCACCATGGATACCCACCCTCTCTCCCGAGGGTGTTACCGTGGGCCAGGGCCTCCAGGCCTTCCTCCCCCTGGCTGGCTCCTTTGCCCCGCCCTCGTCTTCGGTGCTTCTGGCCATGGGTTCTGTGGTGCCGATGGCTCTGCCGGCCCAGCGGCATCCGAACCCCAACGTACAGAGTTCTATGACCTGAAAAGAAGCAGAAGGTCTGTAGAGAGAACTCCTTTAGTAAGAGGAGTCCAGTATATTTAAGAGAGGGAAAAAAATTTACAGTTCTTTGGCCTGGTCACGACTCTGGAATGACAAAGCTTCAAAGGCCTCCAGGACTAAAGATGCAGAGATCTTGGAGTTGGAGGTCTCCTCCATCCTGCATGTAGCTGCCAACCTCACAGGAGTGTTGTTAAGATCAAAGGAAATAATGAGTGTGAACATGATTTGCAAAGCCCTGATGGTCTAGTGGTTAAGATTCAGGGCTCTTATCGCAGTGGCCCAGGTTCGTGTCCCAGTCATGGAACCACACCACCCAGCTGTCGGTTGTCATACTGTGGTGGCTGTATGTTACTGTGATGCTGAAAGCTATGCCAGGGTATTTCAAATACCAGCAGGGTCACCCATGGTGGACAGGTTTCAGTGGAGCTTCCAAACTAGGAAGAAGGACCTGACCACCCACTTCTGAAAAAATTGGCCATGAAAACCCTGTGAATAGTAGTGGAGCATTGTCTGATATAGCACTGGAAGGTGAGAGGATGGTGCAAAAAGACCAGGCAGGGTTCAGCTCTGCTGTCCACAGGGTCGCTAGGAGTTGCAATCACCCCCACGGCACTAACAACAAAAGGCCAATACAGACGCTAGTTGTTATTACAACAATTTGACAGTGGTTGAAAAAAGCAGTAAAGTCACTCTATGACAACTGCAGCAAGTCTTGGCAGGGGGGCAGCTTAGAAAAGTGGTTAAGTGCTCCAGTCAACCTGCCTGGCTCTAAAACTTGACTTCATCGTTAGCTGTGCCACCTGGAACAAGTTCTCTAATCTACCTTTGGCCTGAAATTTATACAATGTTATAAACCAATGTTACTGCAATAAACAAAAAATTAAAATATATATATATGTTAAAACAACAAATAAAATAAAATAAAATAAAATAAATACAAGAGCCAGCCCTGATGGCCTAGTGGTTCAAGTTTGGCGCACTCTGCTTCGGCGGCCAGCGTTCGGTTCCTGGGTGTGGAACCCACACCACTCGTCTGTCAGTAAGCCATACCATGGTAGCGGCTCACATAGAAGAACTAGACGGACCTACAACTAGAATATACAACTATATACTGGGGCTTTGGGGAGGAAAAGAAGAGAGGAAGGTTGGCAACAGATGTTAGCTCAGGGCGAATATTTCCCAGCTAAAAAAATGAATACCAAAAGCCTATTATTTAAACTCAGAAGTTTGAGCAGTAAATAAGATGATGTATATAAAATGTTTAACACAATGCCTTGAATAAATTTTAGCAGCCAATACATTCTAGGATCAGTTTCCATTATTTTCTTTCTGCGTTGTAGAATACACAATCTAGAAAAGAAGAGACTAACTACAAATCACAAGGAGCGTGAGGCTGGGGTTATAGGGAGAGATATTAAATATTGTACAAAAAGAGGGAACAAGAGAAAATATGTGACCCAGAAGCATCCCTCTATAAACCTTATTTTATTCTGTTCACCACTTCTAGGCCTCTCTCACCTCCTCCTGGCTTCACTTGCCTTCCTGCCAAGCCTGGAGCCCAGAATCAGTAGCTTCAAGGATGCTACCACCCCCGACACATAGAGCCTTGGTTTTCCCCCATTTCTGCCCAGTTACTGCTGCTCAGCACCCTAGGTCTCAGGCTGACCCCCCACATCTCCCACCACAGAAGCTGTTCCAGTCTTTAGTTTTCAAATCCACAACTTTATCCATGGTTCCTCCCTCTGAACAGTGACCTCCCTTCATATTTTGCTGAGAAGACTTGGCCCCCTCATGTGAGCTCCCTCCATTCCAGCCTGGCTCACTTTCCTCCCCAGCTTCTCCTCCCTGCCAGGCTAATGAGCATCACCTCCCAGCCATTTGGAGTCCTACTCCATCTCCATCTGTTATCAGATGCCTTTGATGGCTCTGTAGGAAGTAAGGTAATGCTGAAATCTCAGAGAAGAAAGGCTCTTCCTTCTCTAGGAAGTTTTTTTGGTCCAATCAATTTTCACAAACATTAGCCAACCACAGTGCCTGCCTTTTGAAAACACCAGAGAGACAGGCAGAAATGAAAACAAGCCCCAGTAGGGATCAGAGCTAAGAAGGACAAAGTGGCTGTCAGAAAATTAAGCATCAGTTTCTAGGCTGGGGACTCTGAAACAGGGACTTAGATTTTCTGAGTGAAATCAGCAGAAAAGATGACAAACAAATGGACAGCAGGAAATGAATAAAGCACCAATAAAACCCAGTCCATCTACCTGAATTCTGCAGTCCAGTGACTTCACTGAACTAATCCTGTGGTCACTTTGCTGGCCATTCAACTACTCTCCTACCCACACAGTCTTCCTCTCCTTCATCTACCTATCAGCTCACCCAAATTCCACCTCCTCCCCATCTAATTCTCTATTCATTTTTTCCAGTTATTACCAAACCTACTCTTTAGGGGCTATCTGTGTGCAAATACAAGTATTCATTTTATAAAACTTATGGGAAAGATGTAATATTAGTGTATACTTTTAAAAATAAGTATGTATACACATACACACAGCAATCATTAGTGAACTGGGACTGAATCTTGTAGAGCAGGACAGAAATCACAGGTGTGACCCACCCTGCAGATGGAGATTGGGCCTACCAACATAGAGTGCATTCCAAACACATTGTTTCCCAGCACACACACAGAGCTCATTAGCACAGACGAAAGGGTGTTCACTCCCCTGGGCCACAGGACAACTCTAAGTCAATAACCGCAGGGGGGAATCTAACACGTGGAGCAGACGCAAGCCTTTTTTTTCTTTTAACCTATAAATATGACCAAATGGCTCTTACCTCTATTAAAAACTCATTAGAAAGTACTACACTTACTCTAGGATTCACAGGTCTAACAGTTAACCAGGAATAATGATCTGCCAGAAAAAATGGGAAAAGCCATTCCCCTAACTAAAGCCACTGCTCCGTGTTCCTCTGGGACTAGGAGAGGCCACTGAAGCACAGCATGGACTATTGCTCTTCGTGAGTTTACCTTTGGACATCTGTTCTAATGCTTGCTTTTGACGCTTCCCATATATAAAAAAAGCAATGTCATGGTTTAATGCACCTTCTCCTACTGATGGAACTAACTTACGCAAAAAGATGCACGTTTACAAAAGTCGCTAACAGTGTCTGGAGACTAAATCTCAGAAGCAGTTCTGAAAATGGGAGAGGGAATGGTTTGCGTCACATGGAGTAGAGGGTATGCAACAAAGGGGAAGGAAGACCCAGAGATTTATCTGTGGCCACAGAACTTTGTATCGCGGCATACATATCGAATCAGAACACAATTTACTTGCCTTCCATCGAAGTGGGACTGATTTTATTCCATGCCTTCAAGAGACAACACCTCCCTGCAAGCAGCCTCACTGAGTCCTAGGGCTGCCCTCGGAGTGAGTCAGGGTGAGCCCCCAGCATGGCCAATCCTACAGCAAATCCCAACGCCCCCTTCTCCTCTCTGGAGCCAGTCTAGAACCACATGGGGCTGAGGAGTGGGAACCATTTGTCCTCCATTTGCCTATATTGCTTTTTTTAAAAAGTGCTAACATAAATCAGATTCATACGATTCTAGTTTTCAAAAAGGTCTATGTATAAAGGACCATTTCCCAACACACTATCCTCTAGCAATGCTATCATCATAGATGGCTTGCCTTTCCAGCAAAATGGGGAATGCATAAGGAATAGATGAAGTCATCCTGAGAAGATGCTCCTACTGCCAATCACTCAGCCAACCTCTGTGGATGGAACCCAATCCTCAGGATCCAAAAGAGTTTGCCCAGGTTTATTATTCTATTCCCAGCAGACAAGAGTGTTCACAAATGGTTACCTCCTTACTGAGGGCAAAAGTCTAGTGGGCCAAGACAACCACACTGAGAGCAACAGTGCCCCCAGGGTGCAATGAGAGGGTAGAGAGGCAATAGGATGATCAGGGTAGAAGAAGGGATGGGGCAATACATAAAAATGTCTATATGATGGAGCAAGATGTTGAGGTTGGGTGGCCAATGCTGGGCAGTGTGGCAGAATTCCATGCCAGCCAGTCTCACCAGCTATTAGGCTAGATGACCCTGAGCAGTTTCCCACCGTGTACAACAGGGATGATACCTAGCTCACTGGGCTGCTGTCGTGATAAAAATGACAACTTGTACCAAGTGCCTAATCAAACGCCTACCACACAGGGGCGTTCAACATCAGCCTCTCGCCTCCACACCCTTTCCTTCTTCCGCTTTCTCCCAGTTGCTGAAACCCACATTGGCTCTTCTTCTATCTGGTCCAAATAACTTGGAAACCTTAACCTTTATATACCCGAACTCCACTGACCGCCACAGAGCCACCCACGTAAGTTCTCACAGTAACAGGCCCGGAGGCTGAGTCAGCCTCTACAGCTCTCCATCTCTCCATCCAAAGGACAAGTTTTCTCTGGGGATTGTACAACTTTGATGAAAAAAATGTCACGGGAACAAGCAGTACGGAGAGAACATTTCACATGCTGTCTCAGTCATTATAAAGTTGCTGCATCATAGCCTTCAACATTGCAGGGGATGTGGCAGAGGTTTCACAAAGGCTTTTGAATCACGTGTGGGTTCTCATTAAAGCTGCAGTGGACACAAGCCTTTCTTTAATCCAACTGAGCATCACCACTTATCAGGAAATGAAGCCCCACGGGAAAAAGCAAAGCAGAAGGACACCACACCATGGTCATGTGGGGAGCTGGGGGTGGGGAGGGGAGAAAGAAAGAAGAGCCTTAATAAGGTAAACCAGACAGAGCTGGTCAATTAAAATGCCTCTCCCTTCCCTTCCACTTCGGTGGGGTTTTTAAACAACTCTGTGCTGTGAAATCTTAAAGAACATGCTATAGGTGTGTACATATTTTGCATTTTCTTATTTAGATGAAAACACCAGGGCAGAAATGGTTATAGTTAGAATGAGAAGAGCAAATATTCGAAATGGGGTAAAAACGGAGTTTTATAGCCAAACTGAATTTTTAAAATTATTTGTATTTTATTTTCTTTTAAAATTTTGTACACATTTATATTTATATTTCCAGGCAATTGTCAAGAATCAATAAACTGTTCTGAGTCCTTTACATTCTTCAGGAAGAGGTCATTTATTAATATGTATATTGGAATTTACAGTGCTGAACACACTGTCTCACATGCTGTCTATTAGATCCTAACAGTAAGACAGGTATTAGTATCCCTACTTTTACTTAACAGATGAGGAAATTGAAGCTAAAGGAAATTAGGTGATTTTCCCCCAAGATCTTACAGCTAGTGAGAAAGATTGAGGACTTAAACCCAGGTCTTCTGATGGCAAAGCTGACCCTCCCACACCAGGCTGCCTCTCGCTCATTTCCCCCGTTACGCAGAACAGCACTTCCTACCTTCCAACTCTTCCTTCTCATAGTGAATGTTGAGAATTGTGCTGGTCCCACCCTGATCCACCACAGCTTCTTCATCTGGTCTCTGTTGAAACAGAAATAAGTAGCCATAGTAAGACCCATACATTCATTCAAACACTCGTTTAAGTACTATGTGTATACCAGACCCTTTACCTAACACTTGGAGGGAGAAACACAATGGTTTACATATATGTTTAATTTGAACCTCACAATAACTTTGAGACACAAACATGGCAGCCATTTTCTTTCTCGTCTTATGAATGAGCAGCCTGAGACTCAGAGAACATTAAGTAATTATTGCCCAAGGTCACAAACGTGGTAAGAGGCAGGGCTTGGAGCGAGCCCAGGTCTTGTGACTGCAGATCTCGTGCCTCTCCCTCCTCCCCACTCCACCCACACATCTGTAGACCAGGTTGGCATTTTGTGAGTGGTGTCAACCACGTTGTCTTATTTGGTGTAAATCAGTCTCCTTGACCTCTCTGCAGTACTTGAGCCCGTATACCATTCTGTCCTTGAAATTCTCCATCCTAATTCCTCTAACCACATCTCCTCTGTCTCATCCTAATGCTCTTCTTCTTCCTCTCACCATCATTCCCAAGGAAGAGCGCTCGACCTTTCGTTTCCCTCACTCGAGTCTCACAGTGTCAACAGCAGCCTGAAACTGTGCGGCTCAGTATTTGACAACCCACTGTGATGCCACACCTCAAGAGCCACGTGTCTAAAACCAAACTAATCTTCCTTCCCAAATGAGCAACCTGTGCTCATTTACGTACTCCTACCCACGGCACCATCATTTCTTAGCCCACGTTTGAAATCTCAAACTTACTTATTCATCCATTCCACATGTATTGAGTGCCTATTATATGCCTTCAGGGAAACAGTTCTCTTTTCTTGTCAAGACCTCCTTTGCAATTTCTCTCAAATTCACTCTCACCTCCCATCCACTGTATCCCAGACTTTCCAGTCCTTTCAGTCATACTGGACATTTTTTCATTTCTGGAACCATGCTCACTTTCTTCCTGAGTGCTGCTCCCTCTGCTTACAACTATCACCCTCTCCCTGCTACCCCCGCCCGCACCACCAGCAGCCAATACTTATTCATCATCCCATAGATCTCAGCCTAACTGCATTTCTTGGAAGCCTTTCCTGACTACCTCTCTTGTGAACTAAGCTAGGTCCTCCCATTCACACGCCCTCATAGCACTCTGCACTTCTCCTTAGTAACGAAATGTCTCTGCTCCTTAAGGGAGGGACCATATCTGTCTTCCTCACCACTGTTTCCCCAGCACTCTGAAACAGACTTCTCACATAGTAGGGGCTCGATTAATCTTTGTTAAAAGAATAGATATAATGGCACTTACCTTATCAAGACCTTGAATTATTTCAAAAAAATCTTAGCTGCTTTCGCTGCCAATCTATTTCCCTGACCAAACCTGCAGCTCCAGCCAGGCTCACAATCCCACAGGCACTGGGCACATTCCCACCTTCATGCCTCTGTCACACTGTCGGGTCATCTAACAGGCCCCTTCCCCAACTCTCCAGCCCACAAATCCTCACCAGCCCCCAGATCCTGCTCAAATTTCCAGCTTACCCTTCTAATTTTACTATTTTTTAGTTACCATCCATTATCCCCAAATAAGTCAACTCTAAACATAAGGCAATCAATCCATTGTCCCAATGAGAAGATTCAAAAAAAAAATTTTTTTTTTTTTTTTGTGAGGAGGATCAGCCCCGTGCTAACATCTGCCAATCCTCCTCTTTTTTTGCTGAGGAAGACTGGCCCTGGGCTAACATCTGTGCCCATCTTCCACCACTTTATATGGGGCGCCGCCACAGCATGGCTTGCCAAGCAGTGCGTTAGTGCGTGCCCGGGATTTGAACCGGTGAACCCCAGGCCACCACGTCAGAGCACGTGCACTTAACCGCTGACACCACCAGGCCGGCCCCTCAAAAAAAAATTTTTTTTTTTTTTTTGTAGGAGATCAGCCCTGTGCTAACATCTGCCAATCCTCCTCTTTTTTTTGCTGAGGAAGACTGGCCCTGGGCTAACATCCATGCCCATCTTCCTCCACTTTATATGGGACGCCACCACAGCATGGCTTGCCAAGCAGTGTGTCGGTGCATGCCCGGGATCCCAACCGGCGAACCCCACGCCGCCTCAGCGGAGCGTGTGCACGTAACCACTTGCGCCACCGGGCCAGACCCTCAAAAAAAATTTTTTTTTGAAGTATCAACAATAATATATGATGTATTTTTATCTTTAAATGTTTTTAAATTTATAAATTTCTATTTTCTAGCTCTGTCCACTCAAAAGGCCAAAAAAGTGATCAGCCAGCAGCAATGGGTATCATTAGCACCTAGATGGTGGTCTCTTAAAAGACCATTTTCTACTAAAAGGCACTCAGACAACTGGAGTCACGTCAAAAGGACTCAGGGGCCAACTTACAGACCTCCGTAGCCAAAAATAGGACAATTCAGCATCAATAAGGGTGATAACTGCAATAGATTGAATATACCAAATACATTAAAATCCATGAGTTCATAAGGTCACTAAAAATTAACTAATTGGCCATCACTGGAAGATAATGCTGATAAACCAACTCATGATTTTGAAAACTGGTAAAAATTTATCCTGGTTTTCCTATATAAATTGTATCATAGAGTGGTACCCTAGAGGAGATGAGAGAAGTCTCTTAGTATAGAAGAGAATAAATGATTAAGGAATGTTAGAATTAGAACACCACCATTTTGCAATCTCTAATGGATTGCATTGATTTTCAATGGCCACTAACATCACAAAAAGAGAGACAACCAGACATTATATGCCTGCTAATGGGAGACCATATCACCACCCATGAGGTAATCTTACCAAATAAATTGTCCCTGAATCCGATCCAGTCTCTAAATCCAAATACCAATTTACTGAAAATATAGTGAAACAGAGTCCCATTAAAAACACCACAGGAATACAATCCGCAAAATCCAGACCGTGGGAAACTCTGTAGGACAAATCCTCTCCCCTCATCTCCTTTTTAAAAATAAATAATTGCAGGAAGAGAAAGGCAGAGACAAAGACAGAGAAAGAGCAAGGTGAAACTAATAGGTTAAAAGAGACAGCGAACCAACCATAATGTGTAGACTTTATTTGAATTCTAATTCAAACAAACTGAAATAATTTTTTAGTTATTTTTTCAAAGTTATGACATTTGAGACAATTAGAAATTTGAATATTGACTAGATCTCGTATGATATTAAAGAAATTGTCATTTTCTCTTTAGGTGGTACTGTGCTTATTTTTTTAAGAATCCTTATCTTTTAGTGATACATACTGAAATGTATATGTATACAGATGAAGCTTAAAAATTACATATATATAAAATAATATATTAACTAAGAAATATTACTTTTTCTCACTTACATTTTATAAAATAATGTTATTCAAAATCTGCAAATGCATCTTTAACATCAGTGACTTCTTCCTCATCACCATAGGTGCTTTAAGTCCATTTTCCAGAGCATGTCAGTTTCACTTCCATCTAAGTTGTAAAGACTCTCATATAAAGTCCTTTCTGAGGAATAACTTTTAGGTGGAAAAAACTTGCTTTTATTTTAGACTTATTTATTATTTGTTTACCTAGCTTATCTTTTAGATCATGAATTCCCTAACAGCGGGAGCCACATATTTTCATTTTTATGTTCTCCCAGAGTCCAACACAGTAGCTTATGATTGTAAGTAGCCTGCGCTCCTATAAGTTCCAGGAGGATGGGTACTATGTGTTATATTCACCACTACGTACCTAGCACCTAATATGATGTCCTGTATGTGGTAAGTATCCAATACATTTTGATGAATGAATATTTGTTATTTTTCTGAACTGTTTATCATATGATCATACATTTTCTCATAAAACTTCATATATATTCATATTCATATAAAAATTATCCATATACACATATACATGAATATACATATATTACATACATCTAATACTGAAAATTTAATAAACATAAAAGTTAATAATAAAACATAAATAATGTTTTATTATATACATATAATAAATTATTCATACATGCATATGTATATATTAATATACATATTTAATATACATATATATGAAGAATTTTTCATATTGGCGTCCCACAGGTTTGTAATATCCAGAGGACAGGGACCAATTAATTATAATGCTTAGTACTGTCCATGGACACCTGACACAGCACAGAATGCAGCGAGAATCTGGAGGAAGGGAGAGAGGGAGGGATGACTGAGTCCTTGACTCTAAGACTATAAAAGCACAATATGAAGAGCAAGGTCAACCATCTGAAAAATTCAGGTTGAAAAATCAACTTGTTGTTTGTTTGCTTAATTTAGATTGGTTAACCACAGCCTGAATTCACTGAATAAATGTGCATCCACTTTCTTTGTCTTGCCAAAGAAAATAGAACTCCTGTAAAACATCATTAGTCAAAGCTTTTGAAAGGTCAGGCTTGAATGTGAATGTGCAGACCTTATTTGGATCCTGGTTCCTATAAGCCAACTATTAAAAAAATTATAAGGCACTCAGAAACTTAAACAACTGAATGGATATTTGAGTATATTAAGGAATTCTTAATTTTTAAGTATAATAATAATCTTGTGATATGGTAGTTACCTCATTTAAAAAAAGAGTCCTTAATCTTTAGTGACACCTACTGAAGTTTTTACTGATGAAATGATGCGATGTCTGGGATTTGGAAAATGGGTGGAGACACAGATGAAACAATACAGGTTGTGTGTTCATTGTTGAAGCCAGGTCATGTGCATATGATGATGGATTTTACAAGTCTCTGTACTTTGGTATATGCTTGAAATGTCCCATAAATTTCAAATATATACAAAGTTTGTTTAAAATCATAAAAAATTAAAAGAAAGGAATATCAAGTCTCATTGGTCTATGCTTCCTGCAGATTCCTCACCAGTTGGCTATTACTTCCTCTGATACCATCATTATTTACGGCAGAGAGGATTTCTTAACCACGGATTTCTAAGGTTCCTATGAATGGGCTTCAGAGGATCACATGTGAGTG